GGCAGAAGTCAAGAATAAGCAAGATTGCAATCTGTTTTTTGCCAGTTACAACAACAAGATGCAGGAGAAGTTATTGCCCATCTAATTAACAAATGGTCATGTTTTGAGCTCTAGAAAGTGGATTGAGCTCTGATCCTCATCCAAATTATTTAAACTTAAGGAGCTGTAAAATGGGGCTAGAAGCACCACTAGAAAAGTCCCTTCCACTACATCCCTAATACTTCCTAATTTTTTAATTCTGAAGAAAATAGGGCAGGCAACAGATCAGGGATTACTACTTATCCAACGTAACTTCAAGGAATGATAATATACTTGGTTCTTTTTTTACTAATATTTTACTATATAAAGTGCTGATTTTACTGGTTTTGAAATATCATTTATAAAACCACCACAGCAAGTCAGAAAGTGAAAGGGGAATAATGGCCAGGGAGATGGAGCAAGTATCTTATTAGGCAGAGATCTCAGTAGTACTTTTAGGCAAGGTCTTGTCTGAACTGGTTGCAGAAACTTTAATGTGCCTACTGCACTATGATCATAGTGATACATGGAATAGTTACATAGTGGATCAGTGAACCCTTAAACTATGATACTAGAGTAAATGATAGAAACTGTAGTAACTTAAAAAATGCCACCTGGACCGTGACTATAGATCTTTTGTAGCCAGCACCAGCATGGATAGTGAACGGGGAGTTTTGGCTCTCCGGTTAAGGCATGTGATGTGTGGACTTGTGTTTGCTGTGCCCAGGTTGCAGAAAAGAGTGGAGGTATTTGGTTTTTCCCATGCTTCTAGGCTTTTCTGGTTGCCATATGAAGCCCAGAAAGATTTTTTCCCCTTCCTGTTGCTATAGATATCAGGAGTATTTATTTTAATCTTCCTCAGAAGCACTGGGTATTAGCTGCAGCCAAGGATGGGGACTTTGACTGGAATCTGCTGATGTTCCTGCTGGAACCTAAAAAAACCCAGAGGTTCCTGGTTAGAGGGTTTTACTCCTCTGCTCAAGGTCAGACCAATGGCCACATTTGGGATCAGGAAGGGATTTTACCCAACAGTCAGAATGGCAGGGACTGTGGGAGGTTTTGCCTTCCTCTTTAGCTGGGTGGGGGGGGAATGTTCTTTTGCTGTGAGTCTCTTGAGTGTATTAACAAACTACTTCTGTCCTTGTAATGATAAGACATTGATAGTGCCCTCTTCTTCATACTTCCCCTGTAGCAGGTTAGGGTGTTCTTAGTGTTTGGGATCAAGGTGTCTCATTCAACAATGTGGTTAATGTAGTTTTAAGAACAGGTTAGATTGGCAGTGCCCAATTGGTCCAGCCCTGTGGGCCCAAAGTGGTATACAGGGCTGGTCCACTGGCTGTATCTTGGCCACCCCTGGATTAGACAAACACATATCTAGGATAGTTTGGATAGGGATGATACTGCCTTGAGCAGGGGGTTGTACTAGATGACCTCCTAAGGTCCTTTTCAGCCCTACTTTTCTATGATTGTGTGGCTTTAATAGATATATTAGCTGTTAGAATTTAATGTCCCTGCTGTAATTATTTTTTGAATAGGTTACCTTTTTCTTAAGATACCTGTTGTGCCATCAACCTTGCTTCACAGATTTCCATCCTCCCCCAAAAGAACTAGAAGATCCTTATAACCTTGATGATGCTCCAGACAACTTGGATTATGTTGTCAAGATGAAAGGAGGCATTCCATTTGTTTATGACAACAAAGAAATGATGGGACTGAACGAGCCTCAGAGCTTGCCGTATCCTGACCTGGAGACCTACACGCTTGACCTCAGCCATGTTCTTGCTCTCATTGCAGATGGTCCAACGTACGTTTCCCAATATGCTTTTCCTCTCTCCTCCCCCAACAAGATTCGAGCCTAATCTGACCCAAACCTTTTGAGGTGTGGGAATTAAAACTTGAGTATCATCATGACTGTCCAACTAGCATTAGCTTTTTCTTTCAATTAATGAACCAAGGTTGTGTGCTTTTTTTTTTTTAAATTAACTATTACACTTACCAGTCTTTAGTCAGGAAGCAGGGTAGCATTATAGGATGATAGACTCAAAATGTCTCAGCCCCAAATAAAGAGGAGATCTCCATCCAGTGCAACTCTAAGAAGTCCTAGTCAGGGACTCTGGAACAAAGGAACCATTTGGGTTATCCTCTCAAATGCTTTGCCTCTCTTACAGCCATCACATTCTCTAGATCAGGGCTGTCCAGCTTTGGAGTTGCTGGGGGCTGCACCTGCATGGGCTAGACATTGCACAGGCCCCATGCTACACTGACACCAGTGGCACCCTGCTGAGCCATGGATGCTCCCCATGCTGAGCAGGGTCTCCTGGCCTGCTAAGCTATGGGCTCCTTGAGTCATGTGTGATGCTCTGGCCTGTACCCAGGTGGGGCCAGCAAGTGGCAGCTGGAGGAAGGGGAGCCCAGAGATCTGGGGGTGGTGGGGGACAGGGGTAACAGCAGCTGGAGTGGTTGGAGGGAGTGGTGAATGGACTGGAGTATAGGGGCTGCATATTAGCCCCTTGTGGCCTATGAGACTTGAGTTGGACAACCTGGTCCTAGAAGGAAGGTTACATCACTCATAAATTAAGATGCAAATCATAGACAAACAAAACTCTTGTGGTAGAGGTCATAACTTTTATTAGACCAACTAAATAGTATCAAAAAATGTTCTCTCTTTGCAAGTTTTTGGGCCCAAACACCCTTCCTCAGGCAAAGGAGAATTCAAAGATTGTAAAAGTTCTCCCAGATAGAAATGAGACTTCATCTTGCACAGGGGAGTTGAAAGATGGTAGAGATCCCCTGGGTATAACAGTCCATTTAAAAAAAGGTTGCTCTGTGAGTATGCAAAGGAGGCACAAACAATAGGCAGAAGCAGGCTTGTTAATTGATGGTGTCTGATTGCAGGCAGGATGTTGAATTTTGCTTCTGTCTTGTTCAGCTGTGAAGTTAAATCTGCCTATTGTTTGTGCCTCGTAGTTTCATAGTTGTAGGGTTGGAAGGGACTTTGACGGATCATCAAGTCCGACCCCCTGTATGCCTCCTTTGCATAGTCACAGAGCAACCTTTTTTTAAATGGACTGTTATACCCAGTCTGTTTAACTCCATAGTGTCTGGGAACAATGCACCATATGGCCAAACCAGCAGGAGTTCCACACTGCAGGGGCACCAGTAAGGGCCATTGATTCCTACCTTCATCTTCCCAGTTGAAAGCTCTCCTGGCACCATGTGGGCAGGTGGCCCAACTACTGCTGCACTGCTCAGGTGGATGGGTGGCCTCCTCTCACCTCCTTGGTTGTTGACTCCCCCATTACACTGCATTGTGAGCTCCCCAAGCACTGCAGCTGCACTGAGCCATGGTGTCCTGTTCTGCCTTGTCACCTGGGCAGAGGCAAGAAACAAAAGCCAGAGGATGGGGGAGCCTGGAGACTCCAGCTGCAGCAGCAGCCAGAGCATTGAGGGGAACAGCAGTCAGGGGAAGCCTGGGGACCATACAGCTCATAAGCCACCAGTTAGACAGCCATGGGAGAGACAAACATCCCAAACTACTTGTTGAGGTGCATATAAATTCCTATTTACTCAGTGGAAAAATGGTATGCCTACTTATAATTAGGCTCTTCCAGTCTGATTCCTACCCTTTGTCAACAGAGACCAACTAAAGTAAACTCTTTTCGTTAACCTTGTCTAATGAATTTTCTACATCACACTGTTTCCCTGTTCCCAGCCACTGCCTTCCTGCCATTTACTACTTTTGCTAAACCACAGCTCATTGAGCATTGTTTTTTAATACTTAATCGATGTAGCCTGTTGAAATCTTGCCTATACTCTTTTGAGTGTCCCCAGCTTCTGAAGGGTAGTATATTTCATCAGATTTGTTCTGTTTAATCTGAATATAAGCTTTCCCAAAGATCTGCAAGCTTTGAAAGTGATAGGTTTAGACCATGTTGAAGTTTCTTAACATTTAATATTTATAAAAAAAAAAAAAAAATAGGAAAGAAGATATGGGTAATCTCATTTCTGTTTTTACTAGGCAAACAACTTATTCTGTATGTTTTAATTCTTTTTAATTTAATTTAATTACAGAATAATCTTTTTTTCCCCGCAGAAAAACATATTGCCATCGAAGGCTGAATTTTTTAGAATCTAAATTCAGTTTACACGAGATGTTAAATGACATGTCTGAATTCAAAGAACTGAAGAGTAATCCCCATCGGGACTTTTATAATGTGAGAAAGGTAAGTATGAAAGTGTTTATTGGGACAATCTATTTTTGGGATAGAGTTTTCCACTCCAGTTCGTAGCATTAACAAATCCTCTGAATTATAGATGTGACACATTCCAGATATGGATTGCAGGCTGTCTTCTTGGGGTGTGTCTACAAATGGCCATTCATGAAAGTTAATCTAAATTAATGAAAGGCATGATTTTTAAACTGAATTAAACTCCCATGTAGATGGTCTTATTCAGAGAGGACGTAACTTTAATCTGATAGTTTTGGTTATTTTGGAAATGAAGTTACTAAATCAAATAACGGCTTTTTAAAGTTCTGTTAGACTCCACACAGCAAGTTTGACACAGCCTAATTACATCACTTTAACAGTTAATTCAGATTCACTTTTGTGGAAGACCACATTTCAGCAGAGCTCATTTTTGGTTATAAATTTAAGCTGGTATTGAAAAGCTATATGTAATAAATAATTTCCCTCTAGGCCCTCCTCTATGGCCTCTATATTGCTCTTTGTGTTTAGAAATAGGGCAGCGGCTGCTTGGATGCATCTCCAGTGCATGAGTGGGATAGGGCTTTGTCTTCCCTTGCAGCCGGCGGTGTAGGCATGTGTTTGGGTCCTGGCAAGGCAAAACAGTCTGTCCTACACCTCAGAATTGTGAGGATAATACAGCCTCAGTAGGGCTACTGTGAATTAAACCAGTCACTGGGTTGGAGCAGAAACCTTTATATCTTCTCTAATTTCTGCTGGGAGCCAACATAAAACTCGCTAAGATCCAGAAGGCATAATGGTTCTGAAGCCATCTGTTTCCTTTTGTTGTGACTGCCTTCTGAGAGGAAGCAGTGAAGAATCAGGTCCTATAACGTTCTCATTAAAAATACTGTGGGAACATTAATAAGACAAAGTATAATGTCTCTACTTCTTTAATAAGTAAATTGAAGGACAAAAATCCATTTGTGCTGTGTATTGCAACTTTGTGGAATTAGGTGCCCTAGATATATGCCTTTGTCTCAGGCTTCCGGTTTGTAATATGGGAAAGATAACATGTATTTCCTGCCATTCTGTTTCACAGAGATAATGAATGTGTGCCTTGTTCTGTGAACATACCAGGTGCTACTAAGTAATAGTAACAGCAAAGGCCCCTTTATATCAAGGGCTTCAGTGAAGTATAGTAGAAGTAGTAGGGGACGATGCACTATTGCATGCACTATCCTTTGAATAAAACTTTAAGCTGTAGATCTTCCCTCCACATTATTGCTTTCTGTTTAGATGTCGAATCACAGTTGAAATTATGTTTTGTTCAGCAGCATTTTATGGCAGGAAAATTTGTTATTTAAAGCAAGGTGGCAAGAAATCACAACCAGTTTTCTAGTTTTCAGTCCTGTAAATTTGAGCACACTTTGAAATAAAAAAGTAGATTCCTTTCTGGCTTGCATGTCCTCACAATTTAACAGAGATTCAGCAAACCAGTTCTGCCCACAATAGCATGGAATCCAGCTGAGTCTCCCAGAGCTGGGATCCATAGCATCAGAAATAAGTACTTTACTTAGTAAACATATTTTTGTTGCTGAAGTCAATAGGTATGAATGAATATGCAGGGAATGCAGACCTGACTCAAAAAGTTATCAGAAATACAGTTCTCAACATTACAGGTCCAAGCTCAGTAGAATTAAAAGAAAAAACTGCCATTAGATTAGGTCTTTAAAATGCAGTCCCTGATGGTTCTGAATCATGAACTGATTTCATTCACAATTTGATTGTTAGATCAATGGTGTTTAGAAAGGGGGTGGAAAGAGTCTATCCTAACCTTGATGATTGATGTCATATATCTTGACTTCAAAAAAGCCTTCGATCTGGTGTCCCATGATCGCCTCTTGGAGAAACTGGCCAATTGTCGCCTTGGGTCCCCCACGATCCACTGGCTGGAAAATTGGCTCCGGGGTCGGACCCAGAGGGTAGTAATCGATGGAAGTCACTCATCGTGGTGTCCTGTGACCAGTGGGGTCCCCCAAGGCTCTGTCCTTGGACCCATACTGTTCAACATCTTCATTAATGATATGGACACTAGAGTCAGAAGCGGACTGGCCAAGTTTGCCAATGACACCAAACTTTGGGGCAAAGCATCCACACCAGAAGACAGGCAGGTTATCCAGGCTGACCTGGACAGGCTCAGCAAGTGGGCGGACAAGAATCTGATGGTGTTCAACGCCGATAAATGCAAGGTTCTCCACCTTGGGAAAAAAAACCCGCAGCATCCTTATAGGCTCAGCAGTGCTATGTTGGCTAGCACTATGGAAGAAAGAGACTTGGGGGTCATCATTGACCACAAGATGAACATGAGCCTGCAATGCGATGCGGCGGCTAGTAAAGCGACCAAAACGCTGGCTTGCATCCATAGATGCTTCTCAAGCAAATCCCGGGACATCATTCTCCCCCTGTACTCGGCCTTAGTGAGGCTGCAGCTGCAGTACTGTGTCCAGTTTTGGGCTCCACAATTCAAAAAGGATGTGGAGAAGCTTGAGAGAGTCCAGAGAAGAGCCACACGCATGATCAGAGGTCAGGGAAGCAGACCCTACGATGACAGGCTGAGAGCCCTGGGGCTCTTTAGCCTGAAAAAGCGCAGGCTCAGGGGTGATCTGATGGCCACCTACAAGTTTATCAGGGGTGACCACCAGCATCTGGGGGAACGTTTGTTCACCAGAGCGCCCCAAGGGATGACGAGGTCAAATGGTCACAAACTACTTCAAGATCGTTTCAGGCTGGACATAAGGAAGAACTTCTTTACTGTCCGAGCCACCGGCGGTGGGTCAAGTGCCTTCATTGAACACCTTCAAGATGAAACTGGATGCTTATCTTGCTTGGGTTCTATGACCCCCGCTGACTTCCTGCCCTTTGGGCGGGGGGCTGGACTCGATGATCTTCCGAGGTCCCTTCCAGCCCTGATGTCTATGAAATCTATGAAACCTCCCTGATTGAAAGTAAAAACGTAATATAGACTCTGTCAGGTCAGCTTTAAATTAGCTATATTTGACACAAGTTGCAATCTAACCATGGCAGCCCAGAACTTGGCATTGACTAAAACTTGTCTCAGATCCTGGATAAACATTTGAGCAGTCAGGATTCTTTGAGCTCCAAGCTGGTATAGGTAGGGAGGCCACTATCAGTGCTGAAAATGGCTATTTTAAAGCTAGTGCAGATATGCCTAAAAATGTACTGCAGTTAGCTGCATCCTGTCTAGATTGCTGAAATGATTGCTAAAAAAGAAGTCAAATCCAACCTTTGCTTTTAGCTTGAGAATTTAGAAGAGCAAAATTCCAGAGAAGCAATGTTATGCCTTTCGTAGTTATTATTTAATCTTAAAAAAAACCTCAGCTCTGGTTGGAAGGAAGCACACTGATGGCAAAGGCTAGAAATAGTTCTTAAATGTTGCAAATATGTTAGGTCAGATCTTTATCTGCAGTTGTGAAAAGAGGAACTGTTCTTTCCTACTTACAGGAAAGACTACAAATTCAGAAAAATACTGAAAATGTTTCTTGTGTTTAATAAAACAAGTAAAACATTCAAAACCATGACTTATACTTCATTAAAAAAATATTTTAAACTATGGCCAAAGACTTCTTAAATTTCAGCCTTGTCTTCACTGAGGTATGACATGGTCAAGTATTGCCCCAGTTCAGAAATATTTTTTCCTGCTCTAGGGAATCAGGCCATTCAAATGATTGAGTCCAGAGTCTGGCCATCAGATCAACTGCATGAACTTTGCTGCTAGTGCAGATGAACTCTTTGCTACCTTCAGATACCCATAATCCTTGGCTAGGCAAGAGCAGACACAGCTCCTGCAATTTAATTTGGCTGGAGCCAGCTACTGTGCCAGTGGAGAATCTGGTAAACTCCTCTACACTCTGCTGGTGGCACACTTCCCCATTCCTCTCTGAACTTCAGATATGCAAATAGGCTAGGGAGTAGAGCCAGCTGTAGTGACTTGTAGGGCTGTGCGAAGCTTCGAGTGCTGATTGGATTCGGAGGAGATTCGGCCTGATGCAGCGGCCAAATATCCAAATCCAAATCAAATCAGGAGACCAAGTAAAAGGTCTGAATCGATTCAAAGCTCTCCAAATCGATTCAGAAAACACTCGCAGAGCTTTAGCGATTCGGGCTGTCCCTGCTGGCTGCAACAGGCAGCTGGACCTGGACTCCATGCTGGTAAGTAAGGGAGAGGGGACCATGGGGGGACAGCTGGCAGGCCCCATCCCCTGCCCCCCACCCAGTCTCACAGCCCCATCATGGCTGCTCTGCCTGGCTCCAGCTCCCAGCTCTTTAAGAAAAAGCCTGCATTCACTGGCTGCTGCCAGGCAGAGGGGCAATCCCCACTGCCTCCCACTGCCCCATGCCACGTGGGGAGCTCTGCCACGAGCCCCCTGACCCCCGCACGCTCTCCCAGCCCCCCTCCCCTATCCCAGCTCCCAGCCCTTTAAAAAACCAAAACCCTCCCTGACTCACCGGCTGTTGCAGCGGCCTCAGGGCTTCTGGGGGCTTGTAGCAGAACCCCCCATGCAGTGCGGGGCAGTAGGGAGAAGCAGCTAGTGAATCAAGGCTTTTTTATTTTTATTTTAAAGGGCCAGGAGGTGGGGTTGGCAGGGCAGCCATGGGGGGAAGCTAGGAGGCTCATAGCCACCCATGCAGTGGGGCAGCAGGTATCGCCCCCCCTGGGCAGCAGCCAGTGAATACAGGCTTTTTTTTTTTTTTTTTTTTTTTTTAAGAGAGCTGGAAGAACAGGTGGGGCAGCCATTGAGAGTGGGCAGGTGATGGGGCCAATTCAGAGATTGGGCTGCAGCCAAATCTCTGAATTGGATTTGGCTGAATCACTTTGGGACAGTGATTTGAATCACTGAATTGAATCACTGGCTCCTGAATCTGCCGAATCCGAAGCAAATACTAGGCACTTCGCACAGGCCTAGACTTGTAGCATCTCTGGAGAGAATTTCCTGGGAAAAAAATCTTAGTTTTTCCATTTAGGGCAGATTTCTAGCTGCTTTGCTCAGACTCAGCAATGCCAGAACTAGAATAGGGCAGAGGACTGGGCCTTATGTCCCAGATGTGTAGTCACACATCTTAATAACTTCAGCCAGAGTTCAACGTAAGAGCTAGAGTGTTTCATCTAATGGATTAAATAGAATTGTGGGAAATACCTAGGTGCAGAATTTGGCCTTAAAATATAAAAAGAAGACCACTTGAAGTGTAGCCAGTGGATATATACTTAAACTGAAAGACAATAAGCAGACTTTGATTGTCATGCCAGTTGCTGGTCCTCTCTGACTTTCTATATGTAGTGATATCTATACACTGCTCAAGTTTGGGTTAAGTCAGTTAAGTCACTAGGTTAATAACAGTTTGATTTTAGAATTTCTTTCCATTGCCTTTGTAACAAGGTGGGCTGGCCCTTTAAGTGGGAGCAAAAAGCCATGTTGTAACAGTCGAACTGCAGGAAATTAACTACTTTGAGTACTTCACTGGCAGTTAAAACCCCAGAGGGGAGAACAGGGAGAGTTGAGCTAGGGGGAAGAAGTGGTCTGTGGGCAGAAGGCTGACTGGAACATAGATAAGCTTGATACTAGGAAGGGGCCAGAGCAAAAGGGCCTCTCAGGGCCCAGAGAAGGGCTACAAGTTTCAGTTGGTTTGAGTAAGACTTGCTTACTCAGCCAGTTCCTTGAATGTAGCTCCAGCAGACTTTGCCCCCAAGGCAAAGTCAGACTGAAAGTCAGCACGCTCACCAACCCATCTTAAAAGTAACTAGCTGAGGAGCACCCCCCCCCAGCAAGGCCAGCCTGGAAGACAATAGGCTCACTGACTTGCTTACACCCCCTTTCCTGGCCCTTGAAGACAACAACCATGGCTCCCTCTGGCAACTGAATTTGTCCTTCCCTGCAGACTTTGACCTCCCAAGCCTACTGCCTCCTTTTCAGCTGCCACATTTTTGATGACCGATAGATTTGGGAGCTTGCCTTTGGAGACTCAAAGAAAGCCTTGGGGTGCTTTCTTCGTGTTTGGCCTCAGTCACTTGTTTTTCCCAATATGTTTTTCAAGCCCCGGGCTAAACCACCTGGTGCCTCAGTAGCACTACCCTGTGCTTAGACCAGCTGCCTCTCAGGGTACCCATCCCTTTGTGTAGCTATCTGGGTCTTCACCCCTAATCATAGACTGCAGCTTCCCCCATAGCCACACCTATACCTTACAGGTTTTACTCTACCTTTATGTAGAAGGCCCTTTTGGCCCCATCTTCACATATACTCATTCAGCCCACCAGGCCCCTGTCCCCAGCAGGATAGCTGCCTCTGTTAGCCCTCCAGCCTTGGTCTCATCTTGGTTTCAGCCCCCCCACTCAACCTTGTTTCTGACTGTAGCTGTCACAGCCTTAACCTCCCGATTCTGGCCTCAGCCTACTTTGTGCTTCTGCATGGGGCAGAGCTCAAAATGTAGAGTGCCACAGGTACCCTGTAGTGTGGCCTGCAATCCACCCTTGATAGTCATTTCCAAGCCACCAGTTAAACCAGAAAAAGTTCCAAACCAAAGTAGTCTCTAACCATATACTGTATCAATAATGTTTCAACCAGGGTGCTTCAGCACCCTGCAGTGCCTGGAGATCCTTTCAAGGGTGCCATAGAACGTTAGTTAGCATTGTTAAGTGTACAAACACAGTTCAGAAGATAAACAGATTTCACATAAGTTGTAGAGTTAAAAACATTCTGACCTGTTTTGATCTTTGGAACAGAAGAATTATTCTATTCTTTTATCATAGTAAAAGGTGAAAAAGAAGAGTTAGCATTGTCTAAACAGTGCCTCAAGTCCTAACAAGCATTGTCTAAACTCTACAGAGGTTGAGAGCCACTGCTCTATACTACCACAGGAACCTTATCCTAATCAGCTGGCTCCCTTCCAGGTATTTCTTTAGGTCTGCAGCTTCCATGCTGCAGTAGGTAATGCTAACAAGACCTCCTTCCTTTTCAGGATCTAGACTAGAGTGACTGTTCTGGAGCTCAGCTTATATTTCCCTGGGCTCCATCTGTTTTGGTCATGTGCTTTTCTGACCAGCCACAGGTGTGTCCCCTCAGCTCTCTGCACATTTCCCTGCAATTTGCTCAGCTGAGCCACAGTCATTGTTCTCCTCCCTGCCTTGTGCTTTGCCTTTTTGCCTACTGTGATGCACTTGAAACCCTGTAGCCACTATCTTGGCCTTCCCTTGGCTGCTACTCTCATGTACCTGGCCCTAGCTCAGCTGTACACAGCAAATTGCAGCCTCAGCCTGCTGTTCTTTCCTTCTTAGAAAGGAGTCTTAAAGTAACAGGGTCTCTTGACTTCTGTTACTCTGCCATGTAACAGGGCCCATTTCAGCAACAGTTCCCTTATATACAGGTTTTCAGAAAAAGTATCCAATAGTCTGGGGACAAACTATAGCTTAGAAGAGGGGCTGGAAGCTTTTTCATGCTGTGGGTTGGAACGACCTGGTTTCTGCCTGGTGTGGGTGGGGTGGCTTCCACAGCATGTCAGCAGCAAAGGGGGTTTGCTTGTGCCCATGCCAGGGCTAGGCAGCTGGTAGATGCATTGGCACCACTTCTCCTAGCCTCCTGTTCCCGAGTTTCTGCCTGAGCACAGCTTCCAGCTGATGGGGAGCTGCATTGGAGCTGGAGAGCTAGATGCTGCATCTGCACTGCTGCTTTTTCCTCTCTTCCCTCCACTCACAGCTGCAATGTGTGTGTAGCTGGAAGCTGCCCAGCCCCAGTTCAGTTCCTCACCAGCTGGAAGCTGAGCCTGTGGTGCAGCCGGGATGCAGGGGGTGGGGAGAAGTGGCAGTGATGTGATTGCTGCTTCCAGCTGCTCAGACCCAGTGCAGCTCTTTGATGCCCAGCTTCAGCAGAAGTGAGGGCAGAAACAAAGCCTTCCTTCCGGCTTTGTGGGCCAGTCCCAGCAGCTCTGAGAGCCACATCCCACCCATGGCTCTGAGTTGTTGACCACTGTCTTAGAATAAACTGATGTTACTATTTGGTGGGAACAGGCCATTTCATCAACAGTTTTCTCTGGAAGTCCAATTCTAGTTCTTATCTCCTGCAGATAACACCCCCCTACGTCACTTTATAGGACTGACAGAGGGAGAAGAAACTGAACAACCCTGATAAGGCCCTAATAACATTTCTCCTTTTTTATAGATATTTTAATACATTGTTCATGTTGCTGCTAGTAAAGTGGCACTCTTAGGTCCAAATGTTACTAGGGGTTAGCAAAACTTACAGACAAAGAAAGCACATTAATTTGGGGCTGATACTTCATGAGGCAGGAAAGTGTGTTTGTAACTGTACTTACCATTTGGTGCAGTTGGGAGCACTTCAGATATAAATAAGCTGCTTTGTGAGTATGTTTGAGCAAGGGCCAGTCAGTAAACATGGTTTAGCAGTATGATGTGACCAGAGACTGGAATGAACTCTATCACAGAAGGAAAGCCCCTTAGCCATCCCTTGAATACAAGGGTTGCTGGTTGGGATGTTATGTTTATTTTGTATTTTTAGACAGCATATTCTTGCAGATTGGCTTATTTACTGCAAAATATTGAGAAATGTTATGGATTGTACTATGCAATCAAGTACGAGTTTTCAGTATCAAGTATTTTTTTTTTTCAAGCAATCCAGTATTAGTTAGAAACCAGAGGCCTGTTAAGTGCAAAAGCCTCTATTTACTGAGGTATCTGAGCACATTACAATGATTAAGTCATTTTATCTTTACAAACCCCTTGATAGGTAAGAAAGTACTACCTAAGAACAAGGGAAATTAAGTATCTTTTCCAATGTCATGTAGAAGGTCTGTGAAAAAAAACAGGAATTGAACTCTGGTCCCTTGAGTCTCAGTCCAGTGCATTATCCACTAGATATCTTCAGAATATCACCTGTCCATGGTACTAACAGATTTATTTATGAAGGTATTTGTATGCAAACTGTCAATCTATTATTGTAATTGTGGTATACAAGGAGCATATTTGGCAAACGTTTTCTTTTAAAGACTTGTATTTTGGATTGTTCATTGTGCTTACTATGGTGATACATTTAGTAGCACAAGAGAAGCACTGACCCTGGCCATTGACAAGTATTTATTATTAGCCAAGGTATTTGGTTAACAATGCTGCTGTGGTTTAAACAATGGGCTTCCATCATCCTCTTTTTTGAGGATGTATAATCCTGACATAAATAAATGTCATGGGATAAGTGTACATAAATATTTTTCCTTAATATCATATTATGTTTAAAGCCACACACACATGCACACACAGCATTTGTGGGTTCTTTGCTAGTTCTGTAGCAATCCAAAGGGTGTGCACATCTGTCTGACTGACTTTTGTAGCACTACAAAGGAGTTTGTAATGCTGTAAATGTAACTTCCATCCATGGCCTTAGTCTAACACTGGGCAGATCAGGGTCAGGGAATGAAACCAGTTCCAGGGTGCTCATTCTGCTCCCAGTTGCAGCCCTGTGAAACTCAAAAGAAGATAAAAATCTGCCCAAAATGTTTAATAAGCCATTTAAATATTACAAACAATAATAAACCCCTTCTGCTAGTTGCTACTGGCAGCAAAAAGGGTGGAGCTTAATTTGGCTCAGGCTTCTTCTGTAAAACAAACAAAACTGTTTTAGGCATCTCCCCAGAACTTTATTCCTGTTTCTGGCTCCAGCAAATTAAAAACCAGCCTCACAATTGGTGAATCAGGATGCAGAGCTAGAAAGCCATCCTCCATTCTCATGCAAGTCAATGGGAATGGTGGCTGCTAAGCACCTTTCAGAACCCTACTGCTGCTTTTATTGAAATCAGTGGGAAATGTTTCATTGGCTTCAATGGAAGCAGTATGAGTACCTTAACTAGTAAGGGTAGAAGTGTTTACAAGGTAGCATGTATGTACCCAGAAAATCAAGTAGTTCACAGCTGAGGATATCACTGACTTAAGTACAGAAACACATAGATTGTCACTGAGTAGGCTGCCCAAAACATTTGTGTTACTATATTTATCGTTAACTCTTCTAAATGTAGAGCAAGTACATAATTCAGTGACAGTGTATTATACATGATACGTGCAGTTAAGACTGTATGAAATGCCACCTGATAAATCCTCTTTTTCTTATTGACCAGAAGATGTTGAAAGAACAGATCCAAGTTGAACTGTATGAAGGAAAAAATTATTATGAAAAGTTGTCTCCTTCATTATAAACATTTTAATAATTCAGGAGTGGGATGGTAGAGTGGAAATCAGTGCGAGATGGAAAGCTAATGAGGCAGAGGTAGAGTGTGAAGAGTGGAGCTGAAGAAGATGCTTTGCTGAACCCTGATTGAGTGTATGATGGAAAGAGAGCAATGGCAGGTGGAGTGGAGGCTGTAGATAGGGGAAGATAGGTGCTAGAAGAATAGGAGGATCTGGTTAGTAGGGGTGTAGAGATTTATACAACTGCCTCTGTCCTGGCTGATGGGAGGAACTAGCACTTAATTCAGTATGTCAGCTGGCAGCAAGTGACCAAAGTGTTTAGAAGTATGAGAAGATATGGTAGCATGGCACTTAGGTAGAATATCTTTCCTAATGTCATGCACTATAAGTTCAAGAATATTAGCCCTGTGACTGTAAGAACAGCAGAGTAGTAGGAGTGCTGCAATCCTTAATCAGAAAAGTTGCCCACCATCCAGAAACTTTAGGGGTTAATGGAAACATGTGTGTTGTCAGTGGATACAAAATTAAGTTCATGTGAGGTGTGTTGCAAGAAAAGCTTCCATGCCGCATTTGAGGTTTTCGTTTACTTGAGATGGCTAAAAAGACTAAGGGCAAAATGTTCTTTCTTGTGGAACACTCAGTCAGGAATCTCAGCCTAAGGATGCAGGGCTGAGCTTTTTCTTTGCCAGCCCTACTGCAGAGGCAAAAGGTATAGATCAGGAGTAAGCAACTCCCCACGTGGGTACCAGAGCATGGCACGTGAAGGCCTTTTGCTTGGCATGTGTGCCTTGAGGCAGATGGTGGGGAAGGGGCCAGGGCTGCACTACCACAACAAGGATCAGGCCTCTTGGGGCTTTTCTGCCATCTGTCCCTGGCACACCAACATTTTACAAATTGAGATCAAGGGTGTTTTTGGCACCCTGTCCAAAAACATTGCTAACCCCGATAAAGATAAAAAAGGAACATGAGAGAGAGTCTGGAAACTTGTACAGGAATTTACAAGAAATAGACCAATAAAGGGCCAAAATATAAGGGAGTGTTTAAAAAAAAATTACAGGAAGTAAAAGCAAGCCTGGTGTTCAATTCCTCACTCTTGCCATATTTGATTAATGGAGACTGTATAATACTTTTGCGCCAGGCACTCGTTATAGCTACCGGGAGAACCTGTTGCACATTTTGAACTTTGTATCAAGAGCAACTAAAAAATTACAAAAAGTTGCCCAGTTCTGCAAGTTGTTGTAAATACAACTAGACCATTATTTGAGTGATCAGGAGTTTTTGAGTACATAATGCCTTTCATAATGAAAAATAAGGTGCATACAACTACATATTGGTCCTCTTCCCCTGCCCTGCCCTGCCCTGCCCTGCCTGGCCTGTGTTGGCTAATTTTCTGTCCCAGGCAGGAGTGGTGCCCAGCACAGCCCAGTCCTGCCCAGCCTGCCCCCTGCTTCCAACCACTATTCAGGAGGAGCCGGGCCGGGCACCTGCAGGGTGGGCTCCTGCTCCAGTCTACCCACCTTGCCCTTATACAGCAGCAGTGCCTGTAGCAGTGCCACTGACTTGGAGGTGGGAAGGGGATGCCAAAATACAAGTTAGCTGAGGGCACTGTTTTCCCTCAGGCCTGCTCTGGAAGGAATAGTTTCATATAGACAGAAGAGCGCGTTGAAAGAGATGCAATTACCAATCTATCACTTAATCTTTGCCAGAAAGTAAACACATTCAAAGTTATTTCAGAAAGGTGTGTTTGTTTTGGCTTGACAAGGAGGGAGTGGTTGTTTGCAAGGCTTGTGAATTATCAAGATTTACTCTCATCTGGTTCTACAGCATTTTGGAAACTGCTGAGCCATGCTTCTACTGAGATCTTCTGAAGCCTGGATTTTATGTCCAGTCATCTTTTCCAGGAAGTTAGGTTACAGGCTGTGCCTATTAATTGTCTCTGAGGCTTTCAGTAAATTGGTCACCTCAGGTACTTTCTAGTATCTCATTGGTCAAGGCACTGTTGACAGTGAACATGATGCCTGTTTCCAGGACAGAAAGCTCTTAGCACTCTGAGCATATGTAAGATACACTAGAGCACTTGAATGCCCATGAAAATACTCTGAAGAGTTTGATGTGAGCATCCAGGCTATTTTTACTGCTTTAAATACACTGGTGTTTACTGTGTTATTAATCTTATGTTACAGATCTTTCTGTGTGTTCCCTATCTTGACATAGGAACACTTTTCTTGCTTTTAATTCTGCTGTAAGATCCCATCAATTCAATTAGCCATTTGAAGTAATCAGTTAACCATCTGTCTAGTGATTAGTCCTGGACACTTAGGGTCAATTTGTAAACATGTTCTTTAGTTGCTCTATTAATATTTCCTGACATATCTATTTGCATGTGAAAGAACTCTCAGGTGCATACACAGATCACAGGCTGCATGTACAATTACAACATCTGCATTCTGATTGCCTAAGTGTAGGTCAGACTGTGGCCTGTATAGCAGGGTTGTATTGCAAAAGGAGCCCTAGAGGAAACTTAGGTTCACAGATTCATAGACTCTGGCCAGAAGGGACCCTTAGACAATCCAGTCTGACCTCCAACATATGCAGGTTGTAGAATTTTTCCCAGAAACTGGATTAAATCTTATATTTTAGAAGGAGAACTAATCTTGTTTTAAAAATTCCAGAATATCTTCTAGATCATTTGTGAAAATGCTGAATAATGTTGGACCTGGAACTGATCCTTGAGGAACCCAACTACCAACAGTTCTGTTTACAGATCTCTCCCCATTACAACTGTATTTTGAGATTTGTCAGTGAGACAGTTCTTAATCTGCAGGGGTTGATGATGTTTTCTGGCAGGGGACTAGAATGACCCAGCTTGGGTCTGAGGTGGGCGAACACTAGGACTTGACACATTCCATCCTTTCCTTTTGCCTCCTGACTGTGGCACAGCATAGGGAAACCTCTCTCTTAGCTGAAGCCCTGGGTACCCTGCTGCAGTATGGTGTAGTGTAGGCAACCCCTGTTGCTGAATGCCACTGGGGCCATGACTATGCAGGGTGGATCCAAACGCTCTGGAGGCTGCATTCTTTCTGCAGGCTATAGGTTGTTCCCTGGTCTGGTGTGTACCCTGTTAATTATCCTAAATGCTTGTTTGACAACACCTTCTAAGGAACCACGTTGTCTGGAATCAGCTGTATTTTTGCTTCCGATTCTTTATTGGAGGAGTCCCAAATTAATCATTCCATTATTTTTTCTGCGATTGAAGTTAGGATAACTAATAACAGTCCATTAGTTCCAGTTGATTCAGCCAGTATTTTTTGCACAGGTTCAAAGTAAGAACACTCTAGAGCAGCAACTCTGCTAGTTTGATCATCTAGTACCACTCCACTGACACATTCAGTAGGAAAAGAAATCCCCCTCTAAACATATTTTAGGTATTTAGATCTCATGGAGTCACTAATATTGCATATTCTGTCAAAGAAGACTGTACGCATTAGCTACACAGAGATGCAAAGGTAAGAGGGGAGTTGGGGAACACTCCTGGTACTCTGTTCTCTGGTGCTCACCTAGATTAGGACAATTCCCCTAAGTGTAGGGGGAGCAGGTTAAGGAATGAACTGAAAATGCAGTCCTTCGTTGTTTCTTTGACCTGGGTCCTATTACAGGTTTCATAAAAAACTCTTATAGAAGGTACAGCAGAAGTGTGATCTTCTGGACAGAAGAAAATCTGACCCACATAGACTTGTGGTGGTGCTTGGGTTCTTCAGAGTTGGACTGCCAGAAAGCTCAGGAATTCAGAATGCCCTTTTGCATCTGGGTGTGTTCCATTTCCACCTGATTTATTTGTTAGCATGGAACAAAAAAAAATCATAAATTGCATCAACATAGAGTGGGAGTCACACCCATTTATCACAGTGATTCATATTGTTCATGCATACTCATTTCTCCTGTTTTTGAATGTGCTGTCATTTTATGTGGAGTTTATGATGGAAAATAAAGTAGATGGCCTTCCAGTAGTTTTACTTGTACACTGATCTAAATACTGTGTTATTTTCTTTCTGCACACCATCAGCACCGATAGATTATTTTTACAGGTTGCTTATGGCCACAATTGTAGCACTCAAGGCCTGGGAAGAGGTGAGGAGCACCCTCATTTCCATTTCACTCCTGTTAGAGCAGTGAGTACCAAGCATCCCCGAAAAGTAGCCTTCTTGGGTACGTCCAAATGAGTGCACATGTGCGTTACCCAAGGACAAATAGCAGTGGCACATAGTTGTGCTGCTGCTACTTGTCCCCAGGGAACACCCCTGCACTCATGTCCTGGCACCCAGCAAATTACCCCAGGTGGGGTAGGGGGAGGCTGGGCACCTGGCACCTGAGCTGGCCCCATTAGCCTTACCTGGGAGCCTAGGGGCCTCCCTGGGCTGTGGCGATGGCAATCTAGGTGTGTGGAGCCTGGCTGGCAGCTGGAGTGTGGCTCTGGCTGGCCAGACTCCAGTTTTGGGTGGCGCACACTGCCACCATGCGCATCACCCCATTTTTTTCAATACCAGATTAGATACGCTGCGTGCATTTTACAATGCCTCAAAAGCCTTTGAGGCACCACAAAACATATGTTTTCACTCATCTGGATGTGCCCCTTTGGTACGTCCCCATGAGCATGCACATGTGGTTTGCAGAACCTCAAAGCTGTTTGAGGCACCACAAACTGCACGTGACGCACATGCACCTGTGCACCATGCTGGTAATTTGCAATACGGCAGTTATCTTGATGTAAAAAAAAAAAAGCTGCGAAAAACAGCACGGCGCACATGGCAGCAGGGAAAATGGAACCTGGCCAGCCAGAGACATGCTGTGGCTGGCGGGCCGGGGCCCGGGGGGGGGGGGGGGGGCCGGAAGGCCCCCAGGTAAGGCTGCTGGGGCCAGCATAGCTGCTGACCCCAGCCTCCCTTACCCCACCTGGGTCCCTTTGCCACGTGCGTGCAGGGTCATATGGGCACAAAGAGCAGCACAAATATGTGCTGCTTCTATTTGTTCCATGGGAAACGCGTGCCCCTTCACGTGTGTTCATGGGGACATGCCCCTTGAGTGCAGCAGTTTTTACTTATAGAAACAAAGACATTCTGACACAGAATTGGAGTGATGGCATCAACCAGGATGGGGCAGTCATTGAAGCAAGCTCCCTCCCTCTCAGTGGGTTCTGTGTCTCAGTTTTAGTGCATGAGGAGATATTAAAGAAGCTCTGAGCTTTTTTGCTTTACCTAGATCACTTTATTAGGATGAAACTTGGAAAATAGCAAATAGTTCTGAATAAGAGCTGAAGTTCACGTGTTCTGGTTCTTATAACCTCAGCTGTTTTGTATCTCCCATCAAAACTATGGACACGTGATACCAAACAGCAGAGGAGTCCAAGTCCTTTCAAAGGTAAAGATAATCCTGAACTATGCTGTTCACCACAATCTGTAGCCAAAGGCATTGGTGATTTCACGAGTGGGATAATATACATTTGTGTAGATAAACTACAAAATGGTCATTATTAAATTAATTTTTTTCTGAGCAATATCAATTAAGTTTCAGATCCTCCATTGCACAGAAGGGCCTTGGCAACAGTGGACCTATGTAGTTCTACATAGTAGGGGTTGGAAGAAAATCCCTTTCAAGTGCAGCATGTAGGAGAGTTTGGAATGATGTTATTTAAGAAAGGGAAAAAGGCAGATCCAGGGAACTACAGATCAGTCAGCCTCATCTCAGTCCCTGAGAAAATTGCAGAGCAGATCCTCAAGGAATCCATTTCTAAGCACTTGGAGGAGGAGAAGATGATTAGGAAGTCAGCATGGATTCACCAAGGGCCTTCTATGATGACATGACTGGCTTTGTGGACATGGGGAGACGAGTGGATGTGGTATACCTTTATTTTAGCAAGGTTTTATATATGGTCTCCCATGGAATTCTCACAGGCATGCTAAGGAAGTACAGGCTGGATGAATGGATTGTAAGGTGGATAGAAAACTGGCTGGAGCATTGGGCTCAGAGGATAGTAATCAATGGCTTGATGTCTAGTTGGCAGCCAGTATCAAGCGGCATGCCCCAACGGTCAGTCCTGGGAATTGGTTTTGTTCAATGTTTTCATCAATGACCTGGAAGATGGCATAGAGTGCACCCTCAGCAAGTTAGCAGATGATACCAAGCTGTGGGGAGTAGTAGATATACTGGAGGGTAGGGCTAGGATTCAGTGTGACCTAGACAAATTGGAGGATTGGGCCAAAAGGAATCTCATGAGGTTCAACAAGGACAAGTGCAAAGTCCTGTGCTTAGGACGGGACAATCCCATGCACCAGTACAGGTTGAGTGCTGACTAGCAGGGCAGCAGCTCTGGAGAGAAGGACCTGGAGGCTACAGTGGACAATAAGCTGAATATGAGCCAGCAGTATGTCCTTGTTGCAAAGAAGGCTAATGGCATACTGGGCTGTATTGGTAGGTATGTTGACAACAGGTCAAGGGAAGTGTTTATTTCCCTCTAAACAGCACTGGTGAGGCCACATCTGGAGTACTGTGTTCAGTTTTGAGCCCCCTACTACAGAAAGCATGTGGACAGATTGGAGAGAGTTCAGCAGAGGGCAACAAAAATGGTTTGGGGGCTGGGGCACATGACTTATGAGAAGTGGCTGAGGGAACTGGGCTTATTTAGTCTAATGAAGAGAAGACTGACAGGGGATTTGATAGCAGCCTTCAACTACCTGAAGGGGGATTCGAAAGAGGATGGAGGTGGACTGTTCTCAGGGGTGGCAGATGACAGAACAAGGAGCAACAGTCTCAAGTTGCAGCAAGGGAAGTTTAGGTTAGGTATTAGGAAGAATTTTCTCACTAGGAGGGTAGTAAAGCACTGGAACAGGTTACCCAGCAAGGCTGTAGAATCTCTATCCTCGGAGGTTTTTAAGACCCAGCCAAGGAGGTTAGATTAGATGACCTCCTGAGGTACCTTCCAACAGTAATTTTCTTTGATTCTATGATGCAAGAAAGAAAGGGAGAGGACAAAGGAGAGTAAATTCAACTACAGTGATCCAGCAGCTATTGTGCACTGCTGTAGTGATGATGGCTGTAAACCTGCGGCTGTAAGGAGGGGCTGTGAAACAGCTGTGCAGCCTGAGGAGAAGGATCCTATGCTGCCCTGCCCTGGCTATTTCTACAGATACACAGCTACTGTAATTCAGGCTCTCCATTTTAAGGGCAGGATGATATCTCAAGTGTTCCTTATTACTTCTCTTTAGTTTCCTATAAGTGGCACTTACAGCAGTCTAACCTGTAGAAAAATACTCTCTTTAAAATTTAACTGTTCTCTCAGAATGACATCCATTTAGTTTTAATTTAATGTAACACTTTCCCCCTGCCAAAGAAATCCCCAAGTACTTGAAGAGTCAGAGACCTTTGGGAAGACTTTAACACCAAGCCCCCTGACTCCTGAAAAATAGTATTTTTGTAAAGCTTCTGTAATTTTCTCCATAGTAGAGGTCCTATGTTAAAAAAGAACATACTAAGCAATAATGATCTGGTTTTGATTTCAGGTGGATACTCATATCCATGCTGCTGCCTGCATGAATCAGAAACATTTGCTGAGGTTTATTAAGCATACTTACCAAACAGAATCAAACAGGATTGTTGCAGAGAAAAAAGGCAAGAAACTGACATTAAAGCAGGTGTTTGAAAGCCTTCACATGGACCCTTATGACCTCACAGTAGATTCGTTAGATGTCCATGCAGTAAGTAAAATGGAGAAAAAGTAGCATTCTCTTAATTGTAATCATTTGGGGTGAGGAAGTGGAAATTTTTGTATGGTCTTTGTTGAATGAACTGTCCTTTAAATGAGCTCTTAAATAATGTTTATTAATATTTTCTAAAATATTTGCTTGCTGTAAAGGCTTTATTCTTTCCTAGGAATAAAGTGTAATTAGAAAGTAATTTGATTTATAAGTTTACTGGGTAATTCTTAGCACTGCTTTGTGATTATCAAGTTGAAGAGGGTCTCTTTCTGCAGGGTCGCCAAACATTTCACCGTTTTGATAAATTTAATTCCAAATACAATCCAGTTGGTGCCAGTGAGCTAAGGGACTTGTATTTGAAAACTGAGAACTACATTGGTGGTGAATACTTTGCTCGTATGGTCAAGGTAAATAATATTTGTCCTTCCCCACCTGTTGATGCACAGTGTTCTGTTAAAACATGTAAATATATATTTGCAGTATATGAAGTGATTCAGTGATTTCTCAAACATTTCAGGCCGCTTTACCAGTTTAGCAGGTAGAGAGTTCTTCTGAGCAAGGCTCCGTCTGCTGTTTCCTGTTACAGCTTTTCCCTGTGCATGCTTTTATGTGGCTTGGACTGTTTCAGATTCATGGAGTGAAGCCAGTGGTAGTATGTCAGAGGTCAGTAGGCAGGTGCATCATGTAGGTAGGGTTGGATGACTCTCCAGCGTTAGTCACTAAAGAATTTTATATATATATGTAGTTACAGTTTCCTCTTACTACGAAGTAGTGTGGAGTAGTGGGATCCTACCTGTATGTATAAACCTGTACCAGTGTGTAACAGGCCACAGCTGCCCAGCCAATTTTGCTTGTTGGCGACCTCTGATAAGAACTTTTGGCCCCACCTCCAGACTTGCCCACCACGACTTGATGTTAAAAAGGTAGAATTCTTTCACTGGAGCCCTCCCATCCTGCCGGGCTGGTAGTGCTGGCTAACTTTGTCCACTCTAACACGTGTGGCCACACCTGCCGTACCAGCACGACATCACCACCTTTATGACAAGTCCATCATTTGCCTACCCTCTCCCCTTTGTGTGATAAACAAAGGGATGACCCAGTCTCCTTGGCAGATGGACACTATCCTGAGTGAGGACAGTGGGGTCTATTGGGAGCTCCTCCACCCCTACACTCCCTCCACAAACCTCTAAGTCTTTAAATCAGTCACAGGGCCCTGGTTTAGGCTGTGTGTGCTTCAAAATGCACCCAGTCCCTTGGATCAGATCAGACTGCTTTCCTGAGGAATAAATCCTGGTCTTTCCACTTGGGATCCCTAAGAGTCCATTTTAAATAAACAAACAAAAATTGGGGCAGAATTGCTGCCTCTTACCAATTTCTGGTACTTGGTCTTCAGCTTCTCATCCAGGGGCCCTCACCCTCCGTCTTGTCGCATTCTTATAGCTGCCTCCACGGTGCTCCAGTTGGTCAGGGCCAGGTACTTCCGGTGTGGCCATCTCCCAGTCTCCTACAGGTGAATACAGACCTTCAAACTGAGGAAAACCCATAGTGGTACCAGAACTCTTGGGCTTCCCCAGTGTCCTGCACAGGGCTTCCCCAGTGACGTCTGCTGGACTCCTCCCCTGCTCTCCAGCACAGCCAGCAATGACGGCTTGGGCTGTGCTTTGTTGGAGCTTGGAGAAATAGCAGCAGCCCCTGCTCTTGCTTCAGAGGGGATGGGGGGCAGACAAGGACCCACTCTATGACAGCTTGGGCAGTGAACCTGCAAGGCTGGTAGGTTCTGGGACCCCCTCTGGTAAAGGCAAGGGTGCAAGCAACTAATAACATAGGTTTTTTTGTTAGAGGAAATTGTTTCTAATGATTCTGGTCCTGATTCTTCATTGTTCTGTATATTGCGTAGTTATTTTCAACAGTATACAGAGAAACTAAAATTACCTATTTTGATTTAGTAGCAGTTGCATGCACTTTATATTGGCATAAACAATTACACAAGGTTCAGGACAAAGAAGAATCAAACCCTGTAAATCCAAGTGGTATAAATCCATGCTATGAAAGCCATTAAAGAGTGTTCTTTCTAGCATGCTAAGTATGATGGTTTATCAACTAACAATGACTAGCAAGTCCCTTTAGTTTACTAGTAGGCATGCACAGTTTGGCTGTGCCACATTATAAAGTCTGAGAGAGAAAAAAAAAGATGGAAAGAAATATCACTAATTGTACAATTTGTTGTGTCCTTGCCAAAGTAAATGTGTTTAATGATTTATTTTTCAATAGGAAGTAGCCGGTGAACTAGAAGACAGTAAATATCAGTACACGGAACCTCGGTTATCCATTTATGGACGGTCTCCAGTTGAATGGCAGAACTTAGCGAAGTGGTTCATTAAACACAAGGTTTATTCACCTCACATGCGCTGGATAATTCAGATTCCCAGAATTTAGTAAGTAACTGGGTCTATTGGTAAGAAATTAGTAACAAAATGAAATCTTGCTAAGCGACCCATTTTCCTTTTCGCTGTCCCTTTAGCTGCTTTATGTAATTTTTTTATATAAAACAGGCTCTAGGAAATTTTTTATGGCTAATTCTGTGGCTGCATTATTACTTCAGGCTTCCTTAGTAACATTTTGGGAATAAAATGTGTTCATTAAACCATTCAAAATTAATGACTTCTTCCAGAATTATGGGCAGCTAACACAAATGACAAACCATCGGTAAAATGTTTGAAATGCCATTCATCATAACCAGGTAAAAAAGCCACTCTTCATTCCTTTGAGTGATGAAATGATGTTAGTTTCTCATTATAGAAATGCTGCATAAGGAGGAGAGAACACTTTCCAAACTTCTACTGTCAGGGTTTTCTGCCTGATTAGTGAATGACAGTTTCAACCAAAACAACTGTAAATTGCAAAATTAAATCAATACAAGTTTTCATTCAATCGCCAACTGTCCTTAGGGACTTAGGTTGTGATATTAAACACTGTGTACTGTAACTAACACTATCTAGCCACAGATATTTGTCAAAATAAATAGTGGCTGAACTTGCATGTTTTGAATTTTGAAACTGGAAAATAATTTTGAGAAGAATTCCTATGACAGTACAGAATATTGAGACACATTGCTCATTAGGGGAAGCTTCTCTCTTAGTTCCCATCTAGCATTTTCAAATGGGGCACAGTTATTTCATTCAGTTGTACAAACTGGGTCTTTCAAAAAAGGACCTGCAGTTGTATGAACTAAAAAATAAAGCTTTCATTTGGCTTACCTGTAATCTTGGAGAAGTGAATCATTCCCAATTGCTTGCCAGTTTGAATGTCTTGATTGCTTTAAGGAAATTGATCGTTATTCTCAGGACTTATACATGACAATTAGTATTGCAAATATAGAACAAAAAGAAAGTCGCAGCATTTAAGCTTAATTTTAGAGTGTAAACCATGTAATAGAGCTTTCAGATTTTCAAACAAACAAAACTCAAACCTAATGATGTCAGGAATAAATAAATTGGCCAGCTAAATGAAAAGTAGTTATAGTGATGTATTTGTTTCTTTCAGTGATATATTTAGGTCAAAGAATCTGCTGCCTACTTTTGGGAAGATGTTAGAAAACATTTTCTTACCCCTGTTTGAGGCAACCATCAATCCCAAAGACCACAAAGAGCTGCACCTCTTCCTCAAATATGTAAGTCTGTATTATGGGATTGTTCCTCTTTACCTCAGATATGCCCGTTCTCCACCATTAGGATTTTAGTTTATATGAGCAAGGAGGTAAAGGCTGTAGACTTAGTTAAGCACCCGCCCATAGAAATGGCTGTTGGGATGCTTTTTAACACATTATATACCTTAGTAAAGAGATGTGCACCTATCTTTCCTATTGAAATGAGTAGCGACTCTGTAGAGGGCAAGTAGTTATGCTGGTTTGGACCAGAAAAGCATCTTGTACTGATCCACTGCCAAATAAAGAAAGGGAGAAAAGTTTTCTTTAAAATCTTCATAAACATTACAAGACTTTTAACAGTGTTTTCCCCCACCTCACAGTGAGTTCTTAATTAGTTGTTGTCATATTGGGAAAGAAGCACTCTTATCAGTAGTTCAGCTCTAACAAATATGTAAACTTACACAGCTATATTGGGTGACCAAAAATGTGAATAATTTTTATTATGGGATTATTTATTTTTAAGGTAGTTTATATTATAACAGTTGTAACAATCAGGTTAATATTCTGTGTTTGTATTACGCATCCCAGTTATATTTGTGTTTCCTCTAATGCCAGCTTGAAAAATTTACAAAGTTCTGCAGTTTCTGCTCGGAGCCTCATAGATCCCTAACACCTATTCATTTCAAGGGAATTTAGGCATTTATATACTTTTGAGGATCTGGAGTAGTACATCTTGATGTGCTTCAATATGTGATGAATACATGATTCAGAGTTACAAAACCATACGAGGACACAACCCTCTTCTAGTCAGCCCCTCTATCATTGTAGGATCTAGGAACATACATTAATCCTCTGTAATTGTTCATGTAGCCTTCAGAAATTTGTTTTGGAATTATATTAGCTTGAGGAGTCCTACAGAAATATAAACGTACATTTTAGATTAGGAGTGTCAAAGATATGGCCTGTGGGCCACATCTGGCCCACCAGAGCCCCATCATCTGGTCCCCAGTGCTGGCCCTGGGTCTTGAGTTGACCCACATGGCACTCACTGGATTGGCCTTGCACCCACTCTAGGACCCACATTGCATATAAACACCCATGTGGGGCCAGTCCGGGACCCTGCCACATGCCATATCCAGTGCCTGTAACAGCTCCTTTGGCCAGTTTGGGACAAACACTGCATACAGTGACTGGTTGGCCAGTCTGGGATGCGAGTTACATGCGACACCCACTTCAGCTGATGTGAGGCAAATGCCATATGTGGCACAGTCCCAGACTGGCCAGAGTGGGTGCTGGATCTGGCAGGTGGGGGAGGGGGGGGCTCTGAGCCTGATCTCGCCCACAGGGCTAGCCCCATGTCATTCTTCTGGCCTGTGGACTGGTCCTTCATCTGGCCCACAATGCCAGGTGAGTTTGACACTGCTGTTCTGGATGATAGCTTGGGTATTGGATCCAGTGCACTAGCTACAGAGCTACACTGTCATGTTAAATGAGCACCATCTAGAGGCATAGTAGATCAAAGAATTTCAATTAACATACAAAACCCGTTTTTCTGGTCTGTCTAGAGAGACTAATACAACTATGTCCATTTCAAATGTCTGCTAAGGATGATACTGTACAGTTTGTGGATTGTAGAGGTGCATCGATACATCGGTCCAATATTGGATCAGTACTGATATAAAGAAAACTGTCTGTATTGGATATCGGCCCCATGGGGATGATAATTTGGCCGATAAATGCCAAAAAGGCTCCTGCCCTGTCCCTCCCTCCCTGCGGGGGGTGGGGTGTTGATCTGCCCCCTTCCCCTTCCCCCACACTGGACTTACCAGCTAGAGGCAGCTGCATTGGAAATCAGATCCGTATCAGCCCATACGCCTCCTTAAATATCGGTATCGGCCCCAAAAATCTCTATTGGTGCACCCCAAATAGATTATGCTTTTAATGGTTTGGGGGATTGCTGGGAGCATTTTTATCTACTACAATGGATACAATGATGCCTAAATTGCTTTTTCCCCATATCATTTTCACTGTTCTCCCACAATATAGAGATAACATGTGGTTAAGTTCAGTTGACGTTAAGGTCTACAGAATGCCTGTAGGATTTGGTCAAAACCTTTTGATCTAATTCATAATCAGAGGCTCAATTATCTTTTTTTTAAACATCCAAGACGTTCAAGTATCTTTATTTGTTCTTACCAGCTTCCTTTTAGCAATAGACCTGGATATGCCACCTCAGGCCTGTCTTGAAGTTCATTCAGTTTGCATAAAAACCAACACACCCTTGTTCTGTAGTATTTATTACCTGTTAGGCTTTTTTGGCATTTCATAGAATCACAGAAAATTAGGGTTGGAAGGGACCTCTGGAGGTCATCTAGTCCAACCCCGTGCTCAAGGCAGGACCGTCCCAAACTAGATCATCCCAGGCAAGGCTTTGTCTAGCTGGGTCTTAAAAAAACCTCCAAGGATGGAAATTCTACCACCTCTCTGGGTAACCTGTTCCAGTGTTTTACTACCCTCCTAGTAAGAAAATTCTTCCTTATATCTAACCTAAACTTCCCTTGCTGCAACTTGAGACTCTTGCTCCTTGTTCTGTCATCTGCTGCCACTTAGAACAGTCTAGTTTTTTCCTCTTTCAAACCCTGCTTTAGGTTCCACACATGCAGAACAGGAGGAACAATTTTGGGATTGGGGATCAGATCCCAGTTGTGCCATTACAACTTGCTTGGGCTCCCCCTGAAGTGGCACGTTGGGCTAGGGTGGCATAAACTTAATGTGTAGAGAGGGTCCAAGTGCTCTAAGAACTAAGCTATTGGTAAAGAAGGGTGGGGAGGTGGCAGCTCATCCTGGTTGTGTTTGGAAGCAGAGCAGTTGGTGCCACTGCATTTTGTCCAGAGCTGATCCAAGAAGTGTGCTCCAAGCATGGCTGCTATATTAGGCAAGTGGAGGGAAACCTTGAGGGACCCTGACAGGGTCTAGCTGACACATAGGTACCAAGCTGCTCAGCCCTGTCAACCCTGAGCTAATCTACTGATGTAGATCTTTAGGCCCCTAAACATCTTTAACATCAAAACCATAGGTGTCTTTTGCCTTTAGGGTTAGGCAGAAGCTGAACTGGAGATTCAGAGGATTGCAATTTTGAATTTAGGTCCTTGAATCTTTGTCTGATGTGGACTTAGTTATCTAACCAAATGAAAAGCCATCCTCTTATATTTTGAACCATTTACCTGGACTGTAAATGTAGCTAATGCTTTTATGGAAAAATTGGCACATGGCAGAATCTAAGATTATCTATTGGTGGACTGCTTATTTTATGGCTCATCCCTTTTTATGTGTAGTGTAGTTGTCATATTATGTTCTTTGATGTGCTTCCTGGAAGCTTCCCTTTTGGCTGGAAAAATACCCAGGAGCAACATTTTACAGAATTATGGTTGTTGATTCAGTAGCGTTATGACATTGGCCATGAAAGCACAGATGTCTTTGTAATATGGTCAGAGACTGACACTCTTGAAGAATGGAATGGCTAGAATGCTGTCAGAGGAGGGCAACTACTTATGGAGAAAGTGGACTTTTAATATTAGTAGCACCTAAAACAAGGGTTGATCAATTTTAACATTTCCTTATTCAGAATAATTGTTCCTGCAAATCTCTTCTGCCAGGTAACCGGCTTTGACAGTGTTGATGATGAGTCCAAACATAGTGGCCACATGTTCTCTGACAAGAGTCCTAGCCCAGATGCCTGGACCAGTGAAAGAAATCCTCCATATAGTTATTATTTGTATTACATGTATGCCAACATCATGTTGCTTAACAACCTTAGAAAGTAAGTACAATACTAATTTCCTTCTGCACAATTCTGTGCTTGACTGAGAATAAAACCCAACAATCTTGGCCGCAGTCTAAAATTATGTCCAGATTTTATATTAAAGCCCAGATTTTATATAAAGTATATTAAGGTTTTATGTTAACATCAAGAATATTTAAAAAGCTAATTTCAAAATGTTTAGAGTGTCCCCTTATATTCTGAAAATACAGAAATTGCATAAAGAAGTTAAATTCAATATTGAAGCTTGTGTGTGGGATCCCTCAAGCAGCAGATACCATATTTACTTGAATCCAAAATGAGTGTTTTTCCCTCCTGTCACCAGTGCTGGGGTGAGGCAGATACCAGGGTCGTGGGTAAGGGATAGGGGAATAGACATAGGCATGAAGAAGGCAAGCACAGAAGGTGAGGGGGCAAGGAGTCTGGCCCCTTGTCCCCCCCTGCTGCTTTGTGGGGAGGAATTTAAAACAATCCTCCAATAATTAGATGCTGTACAAAATTATACTTTTCCATGTTAAAATCTAATTATTGAGGGGGGTCATCATAAATTCAAAGTCATATTGGATCTGGGTAAATATGGTACATACAGCTATTTTGCTCGACACTCACATTTACTCACTTTGTTGATGGAAGCAAATATTTGTTTAACAAAATCCATTAACCTGCAGCTATGCATATTAGAAACGGTGGCTCCCCTTGCCTCTGTGAAGGATGTTTTCCTTAGTTTAAGATGCTCTAAACTAAATATATGTCATACGCTTATCCACCATTGTAACTTGCAGCTTCCAGTTAGTTACCTGATGCATTGTGTCAGAATGAAAACATTGAAATGTTGACTCAGTAAAAGCAGCTCATAATCAAAGATACAGGAGGCTCTAATTATAAGACTGGACTATGCTTATTAAAGTACAAATTGTCTAATTTTCCAGTAGAATTTAGTAGCGTGGGAACAGCTTGAATTGGAATGCATTTTATCACATGCTGGGTTTTTGAATACAGCATAACATAGGTTTTGAGAAGGCACATCCAACAAGAGAAAGCATGTTATTGCTGAAGCATTCATTCCTGATATATTTGTTACTTCACCAAGAGGCATGGCTGATCTCATGGTTTGTTATCTGCTATGTCCAGCACATAGTTGTCTGAATGACAGCTTTTTGATATAGTTATCTGAGAAATATTACCTGCCTTATTATTATAGGTGTAAACTAGTTCTGTTTCACAAGTAAAACAGGGAGTGTAATAAGTTTCAATAATTCTCTCAAGTCCTAGCATTTAGATTTCTTTTTCTCACCCAGCTAAAAAATGGTAGAGTGATCTAGACATGTACAGGCTCAGAAACGTATAGTTATATGCATTAATGCACTGCTGAGGGGCTGAGCATCTATGATTTCCATTGCATCTGTGTGCTCAGTGCTATTTAAAGTCAAGCCCTAGTGAGTTATCTTTTGAATTTTAGAACAGTATAGGGTTAATTTAAAAACTTTTTTATCAAAATTATCTTTCTTTGGTTAAATCATCTTCCTTTCAGACAGGGGTAAAATATATGGTCCATGGGCTGATCTGGCTCGTGGAGCCATAAGAACCAGCCTATGCATCTTGGGCCAATTCTGGACTCTGCATTGGAGCACTGTTCGTGGCACACAGGCACAGCATGCAGTGCCCCAGACTGGCAGGGTGCAGCATGCTTCATGTGCTCTGTGCTAGCCCAGTAGTTTGGCACTGAGCTCAGCTTGCATGTCACTTTTAGCACAAGCCCCAGAACAGGGCAGATGTGCTATCCACAGTACAGGGGGCCCGTGCAGGGAGTGTGCTGCTTACCAGTGCCATGCTGGACCAGCCATGTGCGCTGGATCCAGTGTGGCCCAATCTGGCCTGTAGACTGGCCCAGAGACCCTCATCTGGCCCATGGGCAGGATGAGTTTGACACTGCTGCTTTTAAAGTTTTTCCATAACAACCTAGAGCATATGTAGCTCAGAAGGCTTACAGTTTATGCCTTTGGATCTCCCTCCCCCTAGCTTTTTTTATTTTGTGCAAGGAGAATATTGAAAGGAAGTAAGGGGCTTTTATTATTTGTTATTATTAAAATTTAATTAAACTTTATTTGGCTTCTTTTATGAGAGGCTATTGTGAGCCTTTAAAATACTTAACTGCTGAGTTATGCAAGTAAGAAAAAAGACCAGAATTTGGCTTTGTAATGTGGTTGGGTCCATGAGAGGTAGAGGATTCAGTGCCTCCTTCATGCAACAGAAGGGTACACCGAGTACTGTCCATGAAATGACACTGCACCCTTCAGCTAATTTATCTTGGTGTGATTGCTGACCAATTCAGTTTCTTATAAAATTAGTAAAGCCTGCCTAGGCAAGGAATACAGGGAGAGTCCAGCAGTTTGCAGTAAAATTTGACCCTTTTGACTTTTTACCCCAACTTCAGTGACTTTAGGAATTCACCCGTAGATTCCATTCCTGACTCTGCTGTTGACCTATTGTGTGACCTGTTGCAAGGTCACTCTTGCATTAATGCTACAGTAATATTTCCTTAATTAACAGGAGCATGTGAGGATTGTTTTCATTACCTATTATTATGTGTTTTGGGATTCTCATACAGGACGGTGCTATAGGTTGGCAAAGCATGGCCCATAATTTAATTTGTCATTGGTATTTCCTAATTATCATTCAAAACAATGTTCTCTCTCCCCTATTCTAAATGTTTCTTTCCTCCACCATGTCATATAATAATGAAATGTAATAGCAACATATTTTTAAACTCCTTGTACTTGTATCAAGCCATTTTTCTGCTACTGTTCAGTGTTCCCTTTCCAGTGGAACATTAGAAATGATTAATTTATTTCTCCCAGATTCCTCTCCCTTTTTTCTGTCCTTGAAGTTCTCTCTTGAGAAGGCAGAGTTTCTCCCAATTTTGAGAGAGTTCTTTGCCAGTAATCTTGACATATATCTATATTTTTTAGTAGTGGAGAACTGTCTGTACAATCTATGACCTTTACACTTGAAAAGATTGAGAGTAGGTACCTTTCCTAACCTAATCTGAAACAGAATCCAGGTAAAATTTCCTAATCCTCTGTGAAACAAAATCCATATACAATAACCCCCTTTCTGGTTTCTATTAACTCAATAATTAACAATAAGCTCTTCTTAAGCGTGACTGCCTCAAATTCCAAGCTCAAGACTGCCCCCAATCCATGGTCTTATACTCCAGAGGCCACTCATTACCTCACCTAGGGTGCTTGTACATGTGCCGGGAGGCTGTTTTAATGCTCTGTAATTAGGGTGTTGGAACAGACTCGATAAGCCATGTCTGCTGGAACATGCTAATTGGTGTGCTCCAGTCAGCCTCCACATCTTGTGTGTCAGTGCCCCCACACTTAAAAATGGTGGTGGGGGTGCTTAATTAAAGCTCGTTCGATGAGCTTTAGATATAGCGCCCCCCTTGCCTTTTTTAAGCGTGGGGATGCTGATACACGAAATGCTCCAGGCACTTTAATTACAGCATCTCTCGGAGCCACTCTAAAAGAACCTCCTCCCCCACCCCCCAGAATATATGTAAAAACACCCCTAGATATAGAACAGGTATGATCCATGAACTCAGCTGAACTCTTCTAAGCCTTATTCAGCAGAAACACCTGCTAAATATTGGAATCAATATTCTGGCAGCTTGTTGCAGAGCCGTTTCATGTTTTTGAATAACATGCAAGTCAGTGAAGGTGGAAGGTGCCTTCAAATATTTCTGTCAGTACATTTATTAATTGAGCTTCTTCAGGAACTGGCAGGCTGTTTCAGTTTATACAGGATAACTCAGGCCTGTTATGGTTTTGGAATCCTAGCAGTGGTGTCAAGTTAAGGCACTAGTAACTATAATATAAGCACACACCTGTGTGACTAGTTTCATAAAATAATAACCTTGGGGGTCTATTCTCCCATTGATGTGCATTGTTATGGCAATGGATCATTTATATGAAATAAGTGAAATTATGATTTTCCTTATTTTTAATTTCTACAGGGAGAGAGGCATGTCTACCTTCTTGTTTAGGCCTCATTGTGGAGAAGCTGGGTCAATCACTCATTTGGTATCAGCCTTTCTGACAGCTGACAATATTTCTCATGGACTACTCTTGAAGAAGGTATTGAAGCTAATCAAAGCAGGCATATCAATTAATAAGAACACCACAACTAATATGAACATTTTTTCATTCTCTTAATGCATGATAAATGTAGAAGGTGGAATCCTGGCTTCATAAAAGTTAATGGGAAAATTCTCCTCAACTTCAGTGGGACTAGGGGTTCACGCATTGTTTGGAAAATTTGAAGTTAAAATAATTGGCCACACGGTGGCAGATTTGTATCAATCACTAATAATTCTGGTACAAATAGTTTTCCTTAGAAACAGTGATTTATTTAGGAAGGCCAAAGAAATAACGAAACTGTGGGTACTAACTGTCCTAAAATTAAACCCAGACATTGTACTAGGGTTGTACATATCCACAACACCATGTTATTTCTCTCTTCAAACTATAAGCAGTATTTTTGTGAGACCAAGAATGGAATAAACTAGAAAGCTAATAGAGGTAGTACAGGCTTATGTCTATGTTAGTGGGCTTACTAGCCAAAAATGATTATGAAGTCAGCCCCTAGAGACTGCATACATTACATGCTTGCCCACATTTATGACCTCTCTCTTTTGCTTCTGAAATCTGACCCACTTAGTGACAGCCTTTCATTGCTCAGCATGTTCCATTGTAGCTGTTAGGTACCCGAGTTTAAGTTTTTGGGGGCAGAGGCAAAGTGCGGAACAAAGCTGTCTCTAGCTCAGTGTTTTTCAAACTTTTGAAGGCATGGAACCCTTTCATGCCACTTCTGCTGCGGAACCACTACCCTAATCCTAAAGGCTGATGTAGAGCTAGGCACCTCGGCCTGGCAATAGTAGCATACTGCCTCCTAACCTGCCCCGCTGCTACCCCCCCCTTCTCTTTGCAGAACCCTTAATGACCTATTGCAGAACCCCAGGGTTCCACAGAACACAGTTTGAAAGCCACTGGTCTAGTGCTGTCTCCTTTCTAGGATATGTTAAGGCCAAATAATAATTACGAGTTAATGAGAATATTGTCCTTCTGCTTCAAAAATATGTATTTATTTCTTTTTTTTAAGTTGATGAAATTCTAAGGTATAATTTAGGAAGTGTAGAAGAAACCTTGATACAAAAAAGAAAAAAAGAAAAACAAGAAAAAAATATAACTCCACAAAAGGCAGTTCAGTTTTTCTGGTCATAATCCTTCTGAACTAATTTTCAATGAGGCTCTATCCTTTTTCTCTGATTGAAAAACTCCTTTCTTATTTATCTGTCACAGTGCCGTTAAATAATGAATATCCATATTGTTTTTGTACAGAGTCCAGTTCTCCAGTATCTTTATTATCTTGCACAAATCCCTATTGCCATGTCTCCACTTAGCAACAACAGCCTATTTCTAGAATATTCAAAAAGTCCACTCCGGGAGTTTCTGCATAAGGGACTTCATGTTTCTCTCTCTACAGATGATCCTATGCAATTCCATTATACAAAGGTAAGTAATGCAGAAAACTCTTGTTATGAATTTAGCTTAGCAAATAATGCCACATGGGCCCAACGTGACCTGAAACCCTCTTTATCTCATTGTATAGTACAGTGGTTCTCAACTTTTTTGGACTCAAGGCCTCCTTGTTAGAATTGAGGCACCACTCTATAACTTTTGTGAATTGAGTGACACCCAACTTCAAAAACTAATTTATAAATGTATATACAGTACAGTGCTTACCTCCTTGCAGAGAGGCCAGGCGGTGGGACTAGGAGAAGATTGTCTAGGCAGAGAGCAAACCAGAGCCCTGGCACCCTGGTTGAGAATTACTGGTATAGTATCTGATGCCTCATGTCTTTAAATTAATCTTACTTCTAGATTTTATGATCTCCATTGGATTTCATTGGGAGGAAAGTCTAATTGTCCAATTGCTTTTGTTTAACTCTTGCTTCCTCCAACTATTAGCTGCTAGAGTACAGAAGACAAGGAGGAGGTAGCTGGGAAATTCCTATGCTAAAGCCTTGATAAACAATGAATCTGGATGAAGCACATAGATTCATAGATTGTAAGGCTGGAAGGGACCTCTGAAGGCCATCGAGTCCAGCCCTCTGCACCAAGTAGGAAAGACAACTACTGTCAGGTGACCCCAGCAAGGTGACCATCCAGTCTCCTCTTGAAGATTTCCAGGGTAGGCGATTGCACCACTTCTGGAGGGAGCTTATTCCACAGTCTGGACACCCTAGCTGTGAAGAAGTTTTTCCTAATGTTGAGCCTAAAATGGCCTTCCAGGAGTTTGTGACCATTACTCCGAGTTTTCCCCAAGGGTGCCCTGGTGAACAGTTGTTCACTGAGCCCTTTATGTATGCCTCTGATGTAGTGGTAAGCTGCTACCAAGTCCCCTCTCAGCCTTCTCTTTTTCAGGCTGAAGAGTCCCAGATCCCTCAGCCTTTCCTCATATGGCTTGTTGTGCAAGTCTCTGATCATACAGGTGGCCCTTCTCTGGACTCTCTCAAGCTTTACCACATCCTTGTTAAAGTGTGGCGCCAAGAACTGGACACAGTATTCCAGCTGCAGTCTCACCAATGCCGACTAGAGAGGGAGAATCACTTCCTTGGTTTTGCTGGAGATGCATCAATTGATTGATTGGAGATGCATTGTTAGCCCTGCTGGCTACAGCATCGCACTGCCGGTTCATATTCATACAGTGGTCTATTATTACCCCCACGTCCCTTTCATTGATAGCAAGGGTCAGGTTGGCATTGCCAAGCCTGTAGGTGTGCAGGGGATTGTTTGTCTTCAGGTGGAGCACTTTACATTTCTCGACGTTGAACTTCATCTAGTTCCAGTTCGCCTAACTTGCAAGCCTGTCTAGGTCTGCCTGTAGCTGCAACTTATCTTCAAGTGTGACTACGCTTCCGCATAACTTGGTGTTGTCCGCGAACTTGGTCAGTGAGCTCTTCACCCCCGCATCCAAATCATTGATAAAGATGTTGAATAGCACTGGACCAAGCACCGACCCCTGCGGGACACCACTGGCCACTTCCAGCCAAGATGACACGGACCCGTTCATTAGAACTCTCTGGGTCCTACCTTGCAGCCACACGTTTAGGAAGAAGAACATGTCACTGGAAGATTTTGAAGGCTGGACTGCGCTGACCTATGTGTCAGTCTATACTAGACAAGTGGATATATAGTTTTTGTATTCTGTAGGTCAGCACTCTGAAGAGCCATGGTCTGCTTCACTGCCCCACTCATCTCTGCATCCTTAACAAGGGGGCAAGGCTGCTTGTGTAGGAATTTGCTCCACACAATTTGTGGCATCTTAGAGTAACCTGGTGCTGGCTTAATATTTCACCTCTTTATATCACACAAAAGAGCCAGATTAGAAGTGAGAAATTGTCCTGCCAGGTGTATTCATTAAATATTTAGGACCAAATCCTGCAAAGTATGTAGGTTCCTACTCCCATACAAGTTAGATACTTAAATACCGTACGAGGGCCTGTGAGCCATAGTCTGAATTTTTCAAAGTAGTCTCAAGCAAGTCATAATCTGTCTCCTTCAAGTAATTGTCCACATATGAATTCTCATCCCCTGAGCTTTGACTGGAAACATTCTGCTTTAGCAGGAATTAGAGTGCACCCCAGCTCTGCCCCTCCTGATATCCCTGCACTGAGGGGGTAAAGCACTTCTTGCTCTTGTTGACCCTCAGAACGATTCTGGGAATGAAGGAAGGTTTGAGTAGCCCATCCCACCAAAATTAAGTACCTAAGAAAACAAATTTAAATAAAATTAAATTGCAAGTTTAATAATGAATTACTTGCAATATATATATGACTAACAGTATAGGTAAGGCATATCAAGCAAATGATTAAAAATGATAAAATAACAAGGGTTGGCCTGTTGGGGAAACCGACTTCTTATTTAGATTTAAAAAAATATGGGTGCCTATACATGCGCTCCAGGGCGAGATGTGCATTTTAATTAGAGTGGCTCTCAGGAGTGCTCTCAGGTTTCTGGCAGCATATGCTGCTGCCATGTGCCCCACACTGCTTTTTTTTTTTTTTCTTTTCAGTGATGGGTTGTTGTTGTTTTTTTTTTTTTGACACTGGGATCTCTGGGTATCAAGAAAACCTGCTGTACTGCAAATTAGCAAGACCTATGGGTGCACATGCTGTGTACAGTTTGTGGCACCTCAGATGGCTTTGAGACACTGCAGACTGCACATGCACGCTCATGGGGACATGCCCCATATGGCCATCATTTAATTAACCCATTCCCTCGAGTTTTGCCTCCAGAGAGCACTGAGCCTATTTTAGTCTCTAGGGCTCTTTTATCAACCACTGGAAAAAAATCAAATGTGGTCCCTGCACAGGCCATAAACTTAACGGAGCTTGCAAATTATCAATATCAGTGAAGTCATATCTCCTGCAAGACTGCTTTTAAGCCTTTAAGGAGCTTACCCTATCAGTCAAGTAAAACAAGATGAAAACTTTAAGGATGTTTTCATTGCTCCTCAGACCTGTAGCCTTGTGTACCTTTGATGTTCCACGGGGTACTTCAGATCTAACTGCACACAGTTCACTCCCCAGACACTTGCTGGACATGCCAGTCCCAATACCAGAGTTAGTGTTTTCCCCACAAGGATTATGAGGTTAGGGGTGTCAAAGATACGGCCTGTAGCGAGTCCTATCATCCAGATCATTTAATTGATAGATGTTAAGAGGTTTCACCTACTAGCTTCATAAAAGCAAATGGTTCAGAAAATATCCATAACTGGGTATTTGGCTGTATAAAATTATGCTATGAGACCACTAAGGTGGGTCTGCTGCCAGCGGTAAGAACACATTCAAACAGAGTCCAAGTTACTTCTATAGTATCGCTGTGTAAGCAACACCTGCAGGACAGCCCTCTGGAGCTCTATCCACAACTTTACAAAACATTATATCATTGCAGAAGCCTTTAGGTATTACACATATCAAGCTTGGCAGAGAGTCATACAATTACTGTTCACCCAGGAGGATTTGGAGACCCACCTGCAGGTATGTGGGTACTGCTTTGGAGTTGCTCACATGTGAGAATTACGTACGAGGTCAACTACTAAAAGGAGAAAATGAAGGTACCTATCAGTAACTGAAGTCTGAGATGTCTTATCTGCATGGACATTTTACTCATGCCCTCCTTCCTCTCTTCCTTAGAGTCAGTATACTATAGGACTCTGTGGCTGAGAGGAAGGGAAAGTGTGCATCACCCTTTGTCCCCTGGGCATGGAGGCACAAGGCACTGCTAAGGTAAAACATCTCTGGTCAGAGGTCAGGGGCATGAGATGTACCCAGAAATGAGAACGTATGTACAAATACATCTTAAAGAACTCCAGTTGCTGGTCAATATGTTTCAGTCATCCGTAGTTCTAAGTTGAAAAACTTGCTAATAGTTCATAGAACAATTTTTTTTCAGTGAGTGTAAAACAAGTTGCTTGACCATAATTGATTACAGATCAAACATAATTTTATTGAGCACTGCATAAGTTAATGCACAAATGTGGTTGTCTAGGAAGCCCTTATGGAGGAATATGCCATAGCAGCTCAAGTGTGGAAACTGAGCACTTGTGACCTGTGTGAAATAGCAAGAAACAGTGTACTACAAAGTGGATTGTCTGATAAGGTATGCTTGATGTTGTATCTTTTGGGGTTATTTGCTCAGCATACAGTCTATGTACAAATAGTTTTGTTTTCCTGATTAATCTCAGGAGATAGTTTCTCATTCTTATTAGGCTTCTGGGAGGCAAAAGTTACACTTTTGAGGTTTTCACCTTTGGGGATTTGTAGTGTAATTCAACCACTTTGATGTAATGCAATATTACATCATTATGTAATCCGCCGACATAAATCAGGCAGCCATTTAAATCATGTAAGTAATTACTTCAATATTAAAGACATCACTTAAACTCAGGGTGCTTAACAGTTTGTGCAGGAACAGCCAGCTTTGAGTTGTTCACACTTTATTAAGCCTCTTTACTTGGTTAGTGAGAACTTTGCTTCTAATAGTAGCCTTGAAACTGACCGTAACTAATCAGTTTCAGGGTTTGTATTAGCACAGCTATTAGTGAGCAAGATGGATTAACCACCAGCTTTACATATCAGGGAGTTTTCTGATTGACAGACAAGTCTGCTGCCTGTGGCTTGACTTTTGTCACTGCCTACCTGTGCCGTGTTCATTAGAGCTCCATATTTGTCTGGTAGCCTACACTACAAATATGACACCTACTAAGAAAAAAAAAAATATAGCTGATCTAAGATAAGATTACTCTACAAAAAACTAAGCTCAGAAGGGGACATTAGATCTTCCACGTCTAACCTCTGGGTAACACTGGACTTAGAATTTCACCCAATAAGCCCAATAACTCAGGTGGATTAAAGCAGAAAGGCATCCACTTCTATGGTGATAGTGTCCCAGTCCAAATAGACTGCCCGTAAGATCTCACGGCTTCAAGCCATGTTAGAGAAGCTTCTTCATCTTTTCTAAGTAGCCATCTCAGGATGACATTACATGTTAGACTTAGATCATACTAAAACTATGGAATATAAAGTGGTGTTAAAAAGTTAGAACATGCTGCAAGCAGTCTCATGTTGAGGATTAATATAATTTTTGGCCTGTAGTTCTGTTTTAACATGAGTGCCGGCAAGCAGCGGTGTGGCTAGGAGTCAGGACACAAGGGCTGTATACTACTTTGGGTTGGGGGGGGGAGAAAACAGTGCATCCTAGAATGCTGGAGGACTGCAGATTGCTCATCTTATCTCTGTGGAGCAGACTGAAGTTACTTTGACACAAGCTGGGTATCACAGCCCAGAGTTAACCCTCACCTGAAGTAGCATAAAACTTTGAGATGCTCAAAGGACACTTACGGCTTAATGATCTGTACCATGATGATGCTCACATTTTAAGTGTCCTTAGGATGGTCTAAATGTAAGTGTGCAACTCTACCCTCAGTTGTTTTGGACCATTCCTTTTGAGATAGCATCCCAGCCATGTCCTAGAACAGCAGTAAAACTATCCAGATAGCTACCACTTCAGGGCACAAGAGGGAACAATCACCTATTTTCTTACAGACATGAAGTTTAATGCCAACTCGTACAAGGAACCTAAGCCTCTCTAACTTCTCATTTGAAAGTTTTTGCACTCTAGCACCAAGATTATCAGCCACTGAGATGGCATACAACATTGGGAATAAAATATATAATCATAGGCTTCATAATCCTGAAGAAAGTAAGGTCCTGAGCTTGAAGTCAGTGGTAATTTTCCCATTGACTTCAGTGGGTTTTGGATCAGGCTGTGAGAGTAGATGCACTATTTGTTTCTTGCAGCATATGTATAAGCATGATGATTTTGGTTAAAACTAGCAACATTAATTTTTTAGCTGATTCTAACTTAAGTAAAAGGCACTTCAGGAGAAATGTTAAACTTGGGTAGAAAGAAAAAGCTTTTCTTGTTGAACCAACTAAGGATATGGATATAGCAAGTTAGATACCTAGAAGGAGGTTGACCCGCTAAGCATTATTAACCACATGATTAGCTGGCATGACTGCTCTTTTCATTTATCCCAGTGCAATACACTGAACAGATGCTTTTACTTGTAGCCTCAATCATGGCTCTTTACTATGTTCACAGGAGAAACAAAAATTCTTGGGAATAGATTATTGTAAAGAAGGGCCTGAAGGAAATGACATTCGAAAGACAAATGTTGCACAGATTCGAATGGCTTTCAGGTATGAGACACTGTGCAATGAGCTTAGTTTCCTGTATGATGCTATGAAATCAGAAGCAATTACGGCTTTATCGCAACAGTCACAGCACCAAGAAAAAAGCCAGTTTTGCTCCTGACCGGATTTATTACCAACTGCTTTCTTAATATTGAATCGTCTCTGTCTGAGAGACGCTAAGATGGAACTGTTTGAACAACACCAAGAAGTAAAATATCCATGGGAGAGGGAGCTGAACAGCATTCGAAGGAATCTTCTACACTTTACAGTTATGTAGTGTTGGTTTCTACAGCCATTATGCTTTAGATATCAGATGCAAGCTCAGAACTCTGTAATCATTTGTGCTACATACTGCCTTTAAATTGTACTCTGCATTGTAGTTTAAAAACCCTAACATATTGTTGATATTGCTTGCATCTGTGGTATTCTACTGTAAACGCAAGATGCATGAAGACAACAGATGCTGGTAGTACACATGCAACTGATTTTGTCATGCTGGGTGTCAGTGACAGTCACAGCTAACAACACTTAAATTTCAGCCCCTGGTTTGTTAGAAGATTTTAGGATGCACAAAATTTAGATGAGCACTTCTATTCATTTTGTAAAATATTATGTGGCACTCACCAGTCTTTACATAAAATATTAAACAGTGATCTGAAGGGGAAGAGAGATCATTACCAGACAATTATTGCACATCTTTTTAGGATTACAAATCATTTATCGTATTATTATTACCTAGCACTTGGGGTAGAGATGGGAAGAAACACAGAAGATAAATGCTGTTTCCTAATGAAAACAGAAAAATCAGTGTAAAAATATTGTACATCATAGTACTACAAAGTGACTTTTGAAGTTGTAGCTTCATTAAGAAAGCATGCCTTGAAAGTGGAGAACAATTTTTTTTTTTTTTTTTTGCTTGCTTTGTTACCAAAGAGAGTAGGTATGTCCTGTGTTCGTTATCATATTTTCTCACGTACCACATGACCCCATGATTTAGGAAGGCAGAATGAAGAGAAAAAGATTTTTCCAGTCATGGCTGAATATTGGCCACATGGAGCAGGGATGGAAACTACTCTTCAGTATCACTCACTCTCCCCTCACAGCTCTACAACTAGAGCTTGTCACAGGCACTTGCTGAATTGACTGCTCAGCCAAAAACTGTTGCTAATTTGACAGTGGCCATGACAAGGTCCAAGCTTTACTTGCATATCAAATCTGCCAGGAGAGGGAGTGACTCTCAAAAGCAGACTCTATCCCTGCTGCATATGGCTGGGAGCCCGGTATCATGCCAGCAGCCATTCTAGCATCCCCATGCCTCCATTCTGGTGTGAAAAATCAATTTTCTTGTTAAACTACACCCCCAGTTTTGAGGGAAGGTGCATGTGGTATGCAAGTGAATACAGTACTTGGAAATGCAAGTGACTTGTTGTGGATGCATACAAAGGAGAACCTATTGACTTGAACAAGAATAAACTCTGGCTATTAGTGGTAGAAGTTAAAGACTTAGATTCAGGTACCACTTCTGACCTCTTACGTGTGTTTTATTGTATTTTAGCTTATATTTTTATTAATGGATGAGATGGGTGGTAAGTCAAATTGTGTTTTTATTTATACAGAAGTTATCCTATTTTGAGATAAAATAGTCTAAGATTACTTATGTGAAACTTTTTATTTAGGGAAGGGGTTGACTTAGGAAGATGTAGCTACTATAATATTTATCCTGTGATTTCACATTCTTCTGCTTGATTGTCTTCCTTAAGACACAGCATTACCATTCAAATGAAAGGATTAAAATATAGTATGCTGCTAGCACCTTATCCATGTTGTAATACTATATGCCGTTCATACCAAAAAAGATAAAGGGCTTGATTCATTAACGGACTTTAGTGCTGCAATGTCTAACTGAAAGATGCTTGGGCTCTGGAGTGGAATCTAGAGCTTGGTATTTAGGCTTCCTGTGCAGTGCCCTGGCACAAGTAGGCCTCAAAGTCCATCCGAGAAATTCCACATGCTGAGCAGGGAGCTGCCTACAGCTGGTCAAAAGAAAATGCTACTTAAATTGTGATTCTCTCTAAAGTAGGGGTAGGCAACCCCTGGCACAAGTGCCAGAGCATGGCACTTGAAGGCATTTTGCTTGGCACATATGCCTTGGGAGCAGACGGCAGGGAAGGGACCAGGGCTATGCTGCCACAACAAGGATCAGGCCCCTCATTGCTGCCTTGCCATCTGCCCCTGGCATGCCAGAAATCTTACAAGTCAAGGTTGCGGGTGTTTTTGGCACTCTGCCCAAAAATGTTGCTAATCCCTGCTCTAGAGTTTCGGCACCTGCAGGCAGCTCCAAGTCAGATGACTCCATCAAATCGGCACCCCCAGCCTGGAATCCTCTCTTAAGGGTAAATGTCTACATCTGTTCTCAGATAAATAAGAGCAAATCCTCTTCAATTTAAGCATGCTCAGGCAGTGTGGGCAGTGGATCACGGCTCTGCCCTGGCTCCAGATCACACTGTTACTGTTGCAAAATCCTGGCCCTGGAGCAACTCCCTGCCCAGCCACATACCCTGCCAGCACTGCTAGGGTCAATCTCCATGGAAACCCTGGCCCCTCCCAGTTGCTGCTGGGGTCTCCATGGGAGTCAGCCACCATGACACGGGCAGGGGCTGCTGGGAAATGGAGTCCGTTATGGGCCGAATCCAGCCCATGGGCTGGACTTTGCCCACCCTGGTTTAAACCCACGTCATCTCATCTAAGAGTGACATAACCACTATGTCACAGGATTGTGTTCTCTCTTGTGCCGTCTGTGGCCCAGTGATTCTACATCCTTTTCTGTGCTTTGGCAGGATGGGTAGGTAATGCCCACCCACCCCAGCCTAGCCTAGCCTAGCCTATAGTCTCATGGTTAGTTCTGTTGTGTAAGCAGAGCTGGATGTGCCTATGTCTAAAGGAAGTTTTATAGGGTGGGCACTATTTGTACCACTTTGTTTTTTTACGCTTGTAAAATAAATTGACCATAACTGCATGTGATCTCTTGTTGCCAGGATGTGTTAGGCTTGCTCTGTGAGCACTGAGCAGCTTATGACATTCTAGGGGCTTAGGCACTGAGCTGCTCAGGGCGACTTCCAGGCAAATGCAGAAACCCTACTTACGGTGTCTAGAATAACCAGAAAAAAAAAAATCAGACTACCATATTTTCTTGCATAAAACATGTAACAGCCACCTGAATAAGATGTGCATCTTGTTTTTGAAAGGCAGAATGAAGAGAAGAGATCACTTCTTGGAAACATTAGTAAGTAACCAAGTAGTGGCTTCTGCAGAGGAGCCTGTGCTGGTATATGGGAGAGGGAACAAAAGTATCCATAGTAAGCAGCTAGGGAACTCAAAACATGCAGCACTTCCACCTCACTTTTCTTTCCCTGGCAAAGACAGAAACTTCTATTTCTGTATTTCATCACTTATCATTTACACCCCAATTACTAGAAGCTGAATTTCAGGGGAAAAGATGCATGTTTTATGTAATTAATATATGGTAACAGTAGCACCTAGCAAATTCAGCTGGCTTGAGGGTTATGTGGCAGCTGCACATCTTTTTTTTTTGCGGACGAGGGGGAACAACTAAGGCATCACAGTTCTGCCAGTGCCCATTATTGGGTCCAGCCCAACATCTTCAGTCCCCATTTGGGGTCAGATTCCTAAGACTCCCAGTGAAGGCAGTGGTATTACACAAACAACACACACCTAATACTGTTTGAATGTATGCTGAGAAAATTACACAGAGGTCTAGCATTTCCAGTAAACTCATGAACTTGGTTTGGGGGGGGAGGGGGATTCCCCTCATAACACATGATCAAGCCTTTTCTGGAGTTCCATTTTCTTACACTTCGGCAGAGGTGATAGTTAGAAATGTGTGTTCAAGTGGTCATGTGAACTACTTGAAGTGAAGATGCCTTGAGTGCTGTAGATGTGCTGGAAGGCTGCTCCAACATGCTAGAATTGTACAGCGTCAGAGAAGACTCAGTTGAGTCTGCTGGAGCATGATCGCTAGTACGCTCCAGCCAGCCTCTGCATCTTGTGCGTCAGCATCCCCACTCATTAGCTTTAGTTAAAACACCCCTGCTGCCAGTTTGAAGCATAGGGACGCTGATACATGAGAAGCTGCAGGTGCTTTAATTAGAGCAGGTCTCGGAGCTGCTCTAGTTACAGCTCCCCCCCAAGCACGTGTAAAAATGCCCCTTGTTTTTATTAATAATGGATCATTAAGAAATGTTGTTCATCTGAGTTTGAATCACCACTCTGATTATTTTGGAGCATTTAACCTTTCATGACATGTCTTCTTTATCTCCAGTGAGAAGGGAATGCATTGTTTTTCTTGGGTTCTCTCCCCAAAGATTGCTCTTTTCTATGTTGTTCAATCTGAGTCTAACTTTTGTTTAGCTAGTTGAACCTGTTGTATGGCTTAATACCTTCTCAGCTCCTTGTGCCTTGTAGCTTTCTCTATCAACACCAACACTATCTTTTGTAAAAAGTGTTAGCAAAGATTCATTGTGGCTTGTTTCTCATTGGACACTAATATGCTGAATACATCAGTTGTTTGTCATTGCAAGAGAAATCACTTATTTCAGATTGAGTTTTGCTGCTGGTGCCTTCCAAGATGCTGCTGTAAACTACTGACAAATTAATAGAAAGATATCTATTCCTCAAAGCCTTCCTCTATTTTTTGTCTCCTATTTTGTTGTCTTTAAGTGAGGGCTTTGCAGGCTCAGGTTTGAAATAATTCCTTTATATTTTTTTTAAAAACAACAGAGATCTGTGTTTATTATGAGTGACATACACAAAAAGAATGTGTTGTTCTGCTTTAGAACCCTTTTATATGTGTATGTGATATCAGAAAATCCCACACTCCTGCTATGACTTTGTTAGAGACTTCTGGGTGAGAAGATAACTCAGACCATAAAATGACCAACCAATAATTAGATTCTATATATGAAAAATGTACACATTAGTCATAGTTTTCCAGGTACAGAATCTAATTATTGGATGTTTGCTTTGAATTTGTTCCCCTCCCACAGCAGAGAAGATAAGTCTGGAGGGTCAGGTAGTCCCCCTTGCCCTCTGCCTCCCCCCCAACTTCTCCCTTCTGCTGCCTTTTCCCCACCTCCTGTCAGACCCTGCTGTCCTTAAGGAGCAAGTTTGAAGACACGGACCTTGAAATAAACACACCTGTAGTAATTTGTATATAGTACACATTGTAGCACATCAGGGTCCCAGGTGTGGCCGTGATCCCCCCACCCCCCAGATGGCTCTGCAACCGTGACCTGCTCCGCCCCTAGGGCACCTTCCCTTCTTGCCTACCACACCTTGATATTATAACAGTAATAAGGAGGCTGCCCACAGGCCTCACTAGTCCCAGGCCCTTTGCTGGGCCTCTCTATGACTGCCACTGCAGGGCACCTAAGCCTTAGGGGTTAATTCCATGGCCCCAGTCCTCCCATACACCACATCCCAAGCCTTGCAGGTGTTATTGTAATGTTGTTCTCTCCTGTTGGGGCTTCAGCCTCCTTGGCCTCTGCCCCTTCACTCTGGCTAGGCCTTCTAGCCTGGACCCACGGTATCAGACCTGGCTTTGAGGCACTAGCTCTGGTTTGGCCCTTTTGGGCCCCAGGCCCCTGTCTGTCTGGTCATGCCCTTCTCAGGCACTGGGCCCCTGTCTGGCTCTGTGGCCTCACTCTATGCTCACTCTGGGCTCAATAGACCAGCCTTGAGCCTGCCCCTGGCAGGGCTTAAGGCAATCACATGCCCCTTGGGTACCAATGATACCTCCCCATACCACCCCTACAGTCCCAACCCAAACCACCAGTTTAAAACTATAATGCAAACCATAAGCCCCCAAGCTATAACATAACATAAAGGGGAAGCAGCCTTCTGCCCCTTTAAGAGGGAAAACTTTCCCTCACCCCTCAACTGGGACAGCCTTCTAGCCCCAAACTGTTTCCTAGTGAACTCTTAACCTCACCAGGGATCCATGTGCAGCACCACAGTCCCTTCAGGAGCTCTGCTGCTGGGAGCTCTTCACCCTATGGCTGTCATGGAGAGACTAGCCTGCTAGCCTCAAATCTCAGGCTTATATCCTCCCAGGGCCCTGCCTCCTTTCGATCAGCAGACTGCCTAGGCTGCCTGCAGGTGCCTGCTAATTGGCCCAACTCCCCTAGCAACCTGCAGCTACTCTGTTGCCCTGGCAACCAGCACCCTACCTGCCTTGCAGCGCTCCCTCACTGGGATGCTTTTGCCTTAAAGGAACAGAGAGCCCCAGGCAGTTACACTCATAGACTTCAGTTAATCCAGAATGGATGTATGCTATCACTTTTTAAAACTGCTGCAAGTTTTAACACAGGCACTACATAAACATGCTTTTGAACAGCACTGCAGCACTTATAGATTCATAGATGTTAGGGTCGGAAGCGACCTCAGTAGATCATCGAGTCCGACCCCCTGAGTAGGCAGGAAAGAGTTTATTTCTTGTAACCCCCGGGGGCGCCTTGGTGAATAAACCCTCACCAATTCCCTTCTGTGCCCCCATGATTAACTTATAGGCAGCCACAAGGTCGCCTCTCAACCTTCTCTTGCGGAGGCTGAAAAGGTCCAGGTTCTCTAGTCTCTCCTCGTAGGGCTTGGTCTGCAAGCCCTTAACCATACGAGTGGCCCTTCT